TTACTCGCATATCACCTCTGATCATCTCCTCCACTCACTGCATGGATGCACCTGTTGCAATCTCAACAGAATGAACAGATCGGACTTAAACAATCGTCCCAGAGAAAAATTCTTTACCCCTCTATACACCGCTTTATGGGATAAACTTTTGTCAGCTTAAACCAGAAGCATTTCCTTATGAATGCCCTTTACAGGCAGCCCTTTGACCCAAAAACTCACAACAGCATGTTGTTCTTTGAGGGTACACTCCATAAGTAAGTACAGTCGCTATTTGGTTTCTGTGTTGCGCGTGCAACACCTAGCATCACTTAACAAATGAAGACCTAAAATTCAGTTTTGCTGTCACCTAATGACATCTTTAGAAACCACCAACTACATTTTCCTGCCATCCCATAACCATTTGGGACTTACTTATTGACTTCCCCTCGTATATTAATGCTTCAGATAATTTGTTTGTGTGTGGGGGTAATACTCACTGATTTACTTAGAAACATTTCATCTTTATGTTTTTACACAATAAGCACCCAGAAGGTGAGGAGGAAGAAGAGGATGAAGAAGAATGTGAAGAGGAGGAGGAAGAGAGTGACACAAATGACGACCCCGACACGGATATGATGGATGAGAGAGACTCAAATGATGATGCCAGCACATGTAAGTTTGATTTATGTTTTAGTAGCATAGAGTGGGAATGAATATGTTTGTATATAGATGTTTTTTGTGTGCTGATTGGGGTTGCCTTATGTTGTAAAGGGGTGGGGGGGGGGGGGTGTAGCGGTCCCAATACTTGTATAAACACTGTATTGGAGCAATAGTTAAAAGCTGGTGTCAACGGAAGGACACTGTCCTTACCTGAATAGGACTGCAGGTTATTAGTGGCTGCTGTAGCCTTTACGGGTGCCCTGATTATAACTTCTTTGGAGGTTAAACAGGGTATCTTGGGTCTGTCATCTAGGTTGAGATGTTTGAATCTCAGGATGGTATGATAAACCTTTAGGTAGCAGTCCAGAGGGGAGAAACTGATCGATCAATCAAAAGACGGTGACACAAATGAGAGGATAACATCAGAAGATGGACTAAAGGCAATTTGAGAGAGTGTACAATCGGGGTGAGAGACAGTGTTGGAGATCCATTGCATCTAACCTTCACTTTGAAGATTGCACCTGATTCTTCTTTGCATTCATCTTCTGTAAAGTCCGGCAAAAAGTTCCAGGTATTCATCCACCTTCAGACTTTATTTAGTCTTGTTCCAGAACCTGAGTCTTGCATGCATATTCGTTTCACATATCTGGCTTATTTATGTGCAGACTCTTGGTTCCTTGCCTGTCAGGCAGATGTACTCTGACTTCAAAGGATGTCCACATTTAGTTTGACTCCTACGACATGCTTGGTGGGGAGGCAGTTTGTTGGTCCCTTTTTGATTTCTCCACAGCTGGGCCTCAGGACCCACAAGGGGAGCACATATTGATTTGGGTTTTGTTAAAAAAGAAGTTCTTTGGGCCCTGGGAAACCTATGTTAGAAAGGGAAGAGGAATAAACAGCTTTATTCAGAAATGTGGGGAAGGGAGGAGGAATAAACAGCTTTATTCAGAAATGCGGGGAAGGATAGAGGAAATAACAGCTTTATTCAGAAATACGGGGAAGGATAGAGGAATAAACAGCTTTATTCAGAAATGTGGGAAAGGAAAGAGGAATAAACAGCTTTATTCAGAAATGTGGAAAAAGGAAAGAGGAATAAACAGCTTTATTCAGAAATGTAGGGAATGATAGAGGAATAAACAGCTTTATTCAGAAATGTGGGGAAGGATAGAGGAATAAACAGCTTTATTCAGACAAAAAGCCCTCACCCCTGGTGTTGGTTCTGGGGCCTCATCATGGCAAACAAGAATAGACTCACTGCCTCCCCAACAAGCATGCTGTAAGAGTTGACTAATTGAGAGCTTCCTTCTCAGAGGAGTCCGCACAATAACAGAATATTTTAATGACAACCCAGACCAGTTACCCGCCATTCTCTAAATATCACAACACAACCCATGCGGGCATAAACAAAAGGCATTCAACATGAAATACACAGCTCACAGTGTCCATTTACAAATTTAACTCAATAGCTTAAGGCAGCCAAACTGCAGACTCCAGTTCAAACGTGGAAACTGCATGAGCAAAACATTGCAATAGCAAAAACTTCAAAGCTAAACAGACTGCCCTGTCTATGTGGCACACTGGACTAGACATCTTGGTAGACTGAAAGAGAGTGTGTGTTGGGAGAAAAATGCAAGCACGCTGGCTGTGTATAATAAGACATACTGAGAAATGTGTTGAAAGACAATTCAAGGCATTTTTGTTGGCATATTCATGCGTTTATGTTTTGGGAGCAAGAATACATTTTTAGTTGTTTTTGTTTGTTTGAGTAATATATAGCAAATCTGTTGCATTTATTATGAAAGATTCTTCTTAAATGGGAGTTGGTCTTGCTAGTCATCACACTTGCTGCGATTCCACTGTTCCCAGTAGCACAGTATAACACTTAAAAGGTTAAAAAAACAAAAATAAGAGGTTAAAGTTGAGAGGATTGACTCCATTGCACCGGGTTTTATCCTATATGGCCCAGCCTGCCTCCATAGAATATCTAGCCGCCGGCCGAGACCATCACACAAATCACGAACTCTGCAGATGATCCCCAGGGATCTCCGTAAAAATTGCAGCCGTGAAACGAACCCACGACCTTCAAAGCACAAGGCAAACAGCTTGACCACTTTGCCACAGAGACTCCCAAACACTAGCATAACATAGTATAACACTAGCTTTTGGAAAAATGTCAACAACAGCAGTACATAGCAAGACATTGTTTAGCCACCCCCAGTTACATCTGATAATGGGTTTTGTCTGGGGTAGTTTTCTTCTTCTTTTCTGGTACTAACCACAAAGTGACCATTACAGTTCTGCTGGAAAAAAAAATTTGCCTTTAAAAGGTGCCGGTACTGCCTACCATTGTGTACAGCCATAAAAAAAAAGCACTGGGTTAGGTGTCCTCTGAGTAGGAATGTTCCAGCTGCCTGGGATTCCTCTTGACAATAACTTTTCTTTTCCGCTTGTGAAAGTTGTCTCCTTCTACCAATATTGGGAAGATTCTTCACTTGTAACTTATATACAACCTGTATGTTCGTTATTACTAAACAAATTCCAGTGAATCGGGAAGCAAGAAAAATATGATGGTATTGGATAGGACACTCGTTGATAATGTCCACTGGAACCCACTGGGTTGAAAGAGTGAAGGCAGACTATAAAACAAATGAAGAAAACAAGAGAGTGAATTGGAAAAGAGGACATCGGGTGAGCTGTAAATGATATGATGACTTTGCATGAGCTCGTCAGGTGCCTAGAGACAAAACCTCTGATAAGACTATTTATTTCAGGCGAACGACAGGCGTGGGGTGGGGGATCTGGCCTGTTCCAACCACAATGAAGACAAAACTATATGGTGCACGAGGGGATATGGACTGCACGATAGCTTTCATAAAGGCAATCAGCTTTATTATATAAGTTTTCTGACAGAAGGATCGAAGAAGAAGAAGAGATATAGATCTATCAGTTGCATAGTGTTTATGCTTAGATCATATCATTCAGAATCTGTAGAGAATGATAGACACGAATGTTCTTTTGTAAGATTGTTTGAAACTGAAACTGCTTAAGCTTTTTCTGCAGATTGTATGATTATTAAATATATGACCACATTTGTAGGGATTTCTTGCATTACTGTGTTTCCATGGTATTAATGTATGGGTTCAAAACAAAAAAATTCATTTCATTATTATTTTTCCCGATTTAAGCAAACCCTTGATTTACTGCCGTTCATGACATACCTGCTAAGAAACGGAGGTTTTATTCTTTGTATCCCCATAAATGGAGCCCCGGAATCCAAGTGGGGAAAAAGTTGTGAACAATTTTGAAGACATATGCAGTTCAACCCCTGAAACACATCAGAATGCTTTTCACATGTCCTGTTTTGAGAAAACAATCAACAGTTCAGGTTTGTAATCATTTAATCTGTCGTTTTCTACCTCAAGGGTGTAGAGGTATTGTTCATTCATGCAGACAAATGAAGCAGTCAATCATTCATTCAGTTTTTCTTTCAATCATGAAGATCCACAACAAAACTGTGCCTACAAATATGCGCATATTTGTTCCTCTTCCTTGGTATAGAAATACTTTATAGTTTAGTGCAGGCTCTGCTTTTCTACTCTGGAGATGTAGAATTATCTCAAAGTCTGGGTCCGTCTTTTCTACTCTGGAGATGTAGACTATCTCAAAGTCTAGTTCAGTCTTTTCTACTCTGGAGATGTAGACTATCTCAGTCTAGTTCAGTCTTTTCTACTCTGGAGATGTAGACTATCTCAAAGTCTAGTTCAGTCTTTTCTACTCTGCATATGTAGAACTGACTATCTTACAGCCTAGTTGCCTTTTCTCTCCTTCCTTGGAGATGTAGAAATATCTCAAAGTCTGGTTTAGTCTTTTCTATCCTGGCAGTGTAGAACTATCTTAAAGTCTAATTTAGTCTTTTTTTTAACTCTGGACAGAACTATTTCAAAGTATACTTCAGTCTTTTCCACTCTGGAGTAGAACTATCTCACAGTTTAGTTTAGTCAGTCTGGTGCTACTCTGGAGAGGCAGAATTATCTCAGTCTGGTGCAATCTTTTCTACTCTGGAGAATTATCTTGATCTAGTTCATCTTTTCTACCCTGGAGGTGTAGAACTATCTCAAAGTCTAGTTCAGTCTTTCCGTCTCTACTCTGGAGATGTAGAACCAACTCAAAGTCTAGTACAGTCTTTTCTCTCCTACTCCAGGGAGTCCTCGCACCCTGTACTAATGAGCCTAACCATCACCACTAAAACACCTAGAAAAGACTGAACCCCATGCTATCCAGGTAGGTTTTCAGATGCAATTATCACCACATCATAAAGATTCCTAATTTATCAAAAAAGAACAGCTCTGTAAAATATACAGCTACTTCTTCAAAATTTGCAGAAAAGCATCATTGGGTATATCTATGTTTCCAATTCTCCGGAGGCGTTTCTTGCCTTCTGCCTGTTGTTTTAGTAGTTTCATCTTCCTCGACACATCACCGCCATACTGAGAAAGAGAAGAGAGAAAGGGTTTTTACTGGTCTGAACAAAGAAGACACGAACAATAGATTGCAGCACAATTTAGTGCCTGGCATATGTTGCCATATCTCATCCCTAACAAGCATACCATAAAAGGCCATGTCCTGTGTTAAGAGATTTGTTCATCAGCCATGATTTATATTCCAGAAACAATACCCTCCATCAAAGCGTTGGGAGGTGAGGGTGAGGATCTTCTGCGCGTTCTATCTAATGTGTTTTAGGTTTTGAACAATGGAGCAACATCATGGCACAAAGTGCCCCGATCTTATTTTAAGTCTGAGTCGACGGAAGCTCAGCACAGTGCACAGGCCCTGTAGCACCGGCGAGGACCCTGAAATACTCTGGGTAGATTTTTTACTCAAATTTTGTCCGTTAGGCTACTCTTTTTGATTTCTAATTGCCAGAGAAATTTTTTCACATGCGCAACAATGCACGCGGGCGGCCGATCTCACTACCCAGAGAACAGGGGTAAATTACTAGAAGTCCAAATCCACGCGAAAAAATCTCAGCCCTTACCGGGAATTGAACCCGGAACCTCTAGCACTCGAGGCAGACACCATGCCTTGAGACCATGCAGCCCCCAATTGTTTTGCATAAGTTGGTCTTAATTTCTTTCATGGCTGTTCTTAATGCTGCCATGGTTTTCTCCTTGTGCAGTATCTATTATATTTCTTCAGTGTGGCCCTCTTTGGTAGCTGGTACAACTGTATTCACATCAGATGGCCAAACCATTTCATCTGTTACTCTTTAATGAACTCTATGACTAATTTCAGTACGTCTTTCCTTCCATTGCCGTTGTCTAAACCAAGTGACGTCTGATGTGGCCAAAGTATTTCAGTCTCCAAGAAATAAATCATAAGCTCTTGCAGGTCCTTCTCTGCCACCAACTAAACTCTAAAGCCTGCCTTCTTACAGCAGAGTGTGGCTCTGTAGCTTAAAGGTTCTTGAAATGGTTTCGTAATTCAATCCTCGACACACCAGGGTTCTTTTCCAGGAAAGAAAAAAGACTGTTCTTGTGGCTTTGAGATAGTGGTACGATAGGCTGCATGCAGTCGTAGGACCTAGGCTGCACTCTCTCGTGGGATGTAGGTGGGTTGGGGTTAGGGCCAGTTCTAGATATTTTGGGGTTGTGAAAAGCTTCAGAAAGCTGAGAAACCCAGTCTTACCACCCTCTATAATGTTGGACTGTCCTAAGACTTCATCTGGGGTAGAATATTAATAAAGCACCTTCTTTACAGCATAAGCAGTAGGACAAGAAAGAAGATCAGACAGAACTGTGTCGACCTACCAAACCTGTCAAAGAAGAAGCAGTGCTAACTAATCTCAAATTGGAAAACACATCTAAGAAACTCACGGCAACTTACACATTTGGCAGTTACATCTTTCCTAAAGGCTTTGATATCTTCTCTAGCAATGACCTTTTGGTTAACCTTTCCCTGGACACTAATGACAAACTGCTGTCGAGGGATAGTTTCTTTCAGCTTCAAACAAATCCTGCTTGCTGTTTCTCTGGCCCTTGACACATGGCAGATCATGGTGAGCTCATCAACTTCACGGCCATTCAGGCAAAAGGTTAGCTGTAGATGGCAAAAAAAGAAATTCAGCTTCATTAACGGATGTTCAGTTCCCTGTATGGGTCTGGAGCCCAACTGGGGGGGGGGGGGGGGGGGGAGAACAGACCTACTGCCTCATAGGAGGCATGTTGTAAATGTCTACCAATTAGGGGTGTTGCCTTCGAAGTCGGAGTGCACCTGTCCGAGAGGTGAGGTAGCAATAGTTAGATCTGTAAAACGGATGTGCACGTAAAACTCAAGTTCTGGAACAATACTAAGATGCATTAGGGGACAAATAACCGTAACTTTTTTGCTACAGTTTACAGCTGGTGAACAAGAAGAATAAGACTTTCGGGGCTGCAGGACATATAAATACATACGTACTGACCAGACGTACAAGTTGAGTATAGTACTCTTTTCCACGCCTTAAAGCGTACTGGGCACACAGGACTAGACCTATATTTTATAGACCATTTGGTACTTCGTGGGTGATGTGGTCAGCATTATGACGGCCGCCTTTACTTCTCCGGACTGTAGCTGGTACCCATTTAAGGGTGGGTTGACCTGGCAGCCAAGGTCACTTCTGAAAAAAGTCAAGGCTCCGTCAGGACCAGAACCTACGACTCCCAGACAAGCGCTGACAGACAGTGCAGAAGTAAAAATGAAAGGATGCTTTCCATGCCAGGGGCGTATCGGGCATATGCCGTTAGAGATATTTTTGTAGACCAATCGGTGATGTAGTAAAATCACCTTGGCCTCCTTTACTTCCCAGGACTTTATCTGGAAATAATTTTGTTCACTGTTGCCAGATAAATAAAAAGAGAAGCGCTGACTAGACATACGTGAAGTACAAAGTAGGACCCTTTTCAAGTCTGCGGCATATTGGGCATATACTGCTAGACTCATATTTTTGTTGACCAACTACTGGCACTCAGGGGTGATATGATCAACATCCTACTGACCGCCTAAACTTCCAAAAACTTTACCTGGTACCAATTTTAGGCACATATAGTCGAGACAAAAATACCGATTAGAGTATCCTCATGTAGCAGGTCTTTTGCAGAAGGGTGCTCTCATCATGGCAACCAGAAACACACGCCCCCCCCCCCCTTTTTTTTTCCCCTCTTCGTCAGCTTTTCTGCCTTTTGAACTTATATCTCCTTTGAGGTTCCAGGGTACCAATGTAAGGGGGGAAAAAGACCTATTGTACCCTCAAACAAGCATGTCATAAATGCAGATGAATTAGGGCTATTTCCTTAAAAAGTATGAGTGCAACTGCCTGAGGCAAGGAACCAACAGTCTGGATACAAATAAGCCAGATCTGTAAAATGGATGTAGAAGCAAAACTCAAGTTTTGGAATGAGACTAAAGTCTAAAAGTGATCAAACAACCAAAACTTTCTGCCGGGGTTTACAGCTGGTGAATGCTTGAAAAAAAAAAAAAACTATCCAAAAGCCCAGGGTGTTCTTGATATGTTGTGTCCATCTTGTCAGCTGTTTCTTGCCTCTTCTTTATCAAGAAAAGTCATCAGAGTACACACTGGACAATGTACACACATCTTCAGTTTCTTATTTTTCAGCATTAACCTTTAAAAGGGTGGTCGGCCTCTTGTGTTGTGGCTTACAGAAAGGTCAAAATGACAATGCTTTTTAGACCAATACATCTGATTACATCAAAGTACTAAAGAAACAATTGTACTTAGACATATGACCTCTCCTTGGAGTATTTATTTAGTATGCACAGTAGTATACTTGAAGAAGACTGGCTATAATGACACATTATCACACTAATTACAAAGGATTATCAGTAAACAAAAACTAATCTTTAAACATACCTTCAGAACTTCAGTGATCTCGTAGCCAGCATCTTCATAATCAAAGCTGGAAGATTGTAAAAATAAAAGAACGCAAAGCATCCTGAATATCATCTGGAGCAATAATCTAGTTCACACACATGATTTCTGACATATAATGTTTTCCCAAACATGATATCTATAATGAAATAGCTCATTTCACACAGATTATACCCCCCCCCCCCCCTTTCCCTTCTCGATATGTTTTTAAATCTCGATCTTTTTCTGTTGTCCTCAGGGTTCCAGAGAATGGTCCTTCTGTCTACTATTTCAGGTACTGTCAGTGTGTAAGCTATTTTGGTCCATAATTTCCTCCTCACATACTAATTCGCTAGACCAATTCAGTTCTTTCTCTAAGCTTCACAATAGTGGTTCAACACAAATATAAGATGCTAGTGTTTTGTTTATTATGATAATGGTGAGTGACAAACACCCGGTGAGACAAAGTGCCACCATATGGATGAGGATCACCTGGACAGAGGTCCCAGAAACCCTGTTCAACCATTAGGTTATATTAGGGCCTCCGACTACAGCCGGGGTGGGGCATTACAAACAAATTGCATCCCATATTGAGACGACAGATAAAACATTCGTTTTGCAGATCTGGTTTATTTATATGCAGACCGTCGGCTCCTCTCCTCTCAGGCAGATGCGCTCCGACTTCAAAGGAAATGCCCCTGACTAGTTGCCCTTTACAACATGCTTTTTTGTCTATTCCTCACCTCCCCCCCCCCCCCCCCCCTTTTCCAACTTCGTCTCTTCTGGCTGCTTTGACCATAAACTGGTGCTGTAGAGTTTCTCATGGGTATTACAATCATTAATTATAATAAATAAATGCAACTACAATTCAAAGCATACACTTCAAGAAAAAAGACCAATCTTTAACCTAGTCACCTGCAAGTAAATTTGACCAAACTCATCTATGCCATTTTCAAGGTCAAGATAGGAGATGTTATAACTAATACTGCATAGGAACGGTTCCCCCATGGGATGGCTACTGAATCAGTGTAATAAACATGCATGGGAATGCTGACTGTACAGTGACGCCAATGGTAAAACCACAACGATCACTGCCTCTTTATGCTTTTTGTAGGGCAGTGTATATAGGGGGAATTTATGGCCGTATGGCTACTGTGCAGGATAGGATGTTTATTTTTGCCCCCAAAAGAAAAAACCCATCACTTCACCGGGGGAGGGGTCAAACTCTGGTCTCCCACATGAGAGTCTGATGTTGTAACTGATCGGCCAGCCGCTCATCATTGCATAACAATACATTCTAGCATAACAATACATCATAGCATAACAATACATTCTAGCATAACAATACATCAAAGCATAACAATACATCATAGCATAACAATACATTCTAGCATAACAATACATCAAAGCATAACCATACATTCTAGCATAACAATACATCAAAGCATAACAATACATCATAGCATAACAATACATCAAAGCATAACCATACATCATAGCATAACAATACATCAAAGCATAACAATACATCATAGCATAACAATACATCAAAGCATAACCATACATCATAGCATAACAATACATCATAGCATAACCATACATCATAGCATAACAATACATCAAAGCATAACAATACATCATAGCATAACAATACATCAAAGCATAACAATACATCATAGCATAACAATACATCATAGCATAACAATACATCATAGCATAACAATACATCAAAGCATAACAATACATCATAGCATAACAATACATCATAGCATAACAATACATCATAGGGTAACAATACATCATAGCGTAACAATACATCAAAGCATAACAATACATCATAGCATAACAATACATCATAGCATAACCATACATCATAGCGTAACAATACATCATAGCATAACAATACATCATAGGGTAACAATACATCAAAGCATAACAATACATCAAAGCATAACAATACATCATAGCATAACAATACATCATAGCATAACAATACATCATAGCATAACAATACATCATAGCATAACAATACATCATAGCATAACAATACATCATAGCATAACAATACATCATTGCATAACAATACATCATAGGGTAACAATACATCATAGCATAACAATACATCATAGCATAACAATACATTCTAGCATAACATAACAAAAGGAAAATTTTATTTTGAAAAAAAAAATACCTGGCATAGCCTGAAGTGATCGACTTCAACTCATCAAAGAAATCTACCAGTATTTCCGAGAGAGGAAATTTGGCCTGCATCATGACTCGGGTATTATCAATATATACTTGGTCTTTGATTCGGCCACGATGCTCCTAACAAAGAAAAATGATTCATAACAATTTAAACCACACTGTATAATACAGATTCCTGTTTGGGTTCTGGGGCCCAATTTTAAAGATCGGAATAAACAAACTGTACTCTGAACAAGCATGCCATAAATGGCAAGTAATTAAACTGGATGTTCTGGGTGGAAATGTGCTGCCTAGCTGTAAACTCCTTAACTCTTTCGCCCTGGGTACACTAAGAAAATAAAGTTTCAAATTCCAAACAAAAATCCTTTATACTACAACAATTTTATGGGTCACTAATAAATTAATTAACAAATTATTTATCTACATCCTGCCTCCCCTAAAATATTTGAAGATATGTGAAGGGAGTAATCAATAAATATGAACAGAATGAAGCATTGAATTGGTTACACTTCCTTTGGCTTAAAGGACATATGCATAAAATGACTCATGGTGTGACCATGAAACCTCCATCACTGAGGCTTGTAGGAGAAATGTGATGTCAATTTAGCATTAAAAAACAGCTATTTGGCTCAGAGGAAAACCCTATAAATGTTTTTTTAAGTTAATGTATTGATATCCTGATCTCTTAAATGTTTGTGCAGCCACGAAAACAGCCCACAGAATAAACTATATGCCTTGCAAAAAAGTCACTGAGTTATGAATTATGAGTTGGATTATCTTCACAACACTCCGGACACATCCATAAGTGCTCAGACTCCAGCTTCAACATATTCATTAGCGAAGTACGGTTAATAATGCCAGTCTTATGCTGGTTGACAACACTTTGTGTATGTCTGGTGTGCCTCTCATTCTTGGCTGTGCTGATCTTTACTCCCAATTCTTATATTCTTAGCAGTGATGTGGACATGTTGCTTTCAAAATCTTTTAAAGAGGTGATCAGAGCACCTATGGATCTGTCCGGATCATCATTAGTGAGGATTATCATCACAGCACTCCGGACAGATCCACAGGTGCTTTGATCTCCTTTTTAAAAGATCCACAAGCCTAAAATGACTGATGATGCCTGTTCTGTGTTGATTAATCAAACACCTTGTTGCCTTGGGACATTTTCATTCCTTGCAGCTCCAGGTTGTACCCCATGCCCATTAGCCTAGTCAGGGATGTGAAGCCATGCCCTCTGCGGTATTCATCTTCGCAGTACGTACTGTGTATGACACTGATGACATTGACTCTGTCCATAACAACCACAGTGTCTACAAAAAATTCTACATGCTCGTTGTCTCGAACACTTGCATGACCTGGCATACAGATAAAGGTTAGGCCAGCCATTCATGAAGTGCTTAGTGTTGCAATCCATTCTTATCTGATAAATCCAGGCTGGATTTTCCTAATTATATTCATTGAGTCACTAAATATGCACACGTGAGTCCCAGCTATGCTTATGTCCTTGTTACAGAGACAGTTTCTTTTTTAAGGCTACTAGTTGTAACAGCAAAGGCGCCATTTATCTCCTTGATGGTTTTCACTATAAACTTACTGTGAAAACCCATGCAGTTCACTTGCCGCGAATTACTGATCCGTCCGTGTAAACTACACCCTCCTCTATGTTTTCATCAATCAGCGTTCTTACATGTTTACTATGCAAGGAATCTGACACTTCTATCAACTGTGACATGGACTGTAATGTTTGGAGCAGCAGGTATGGGTATCCATTCAATTCCAAACTGATAAATAGGCGCTTGGTCACATGTGCATAATCAAGACAAGAACACAGACATGATCTTAGAGGCTGGTGTGAGGAATGGCTAACAATGACTGCCTACCCTTATCAACAAGGCACAGGGTGATCATATACTTGCTGTCCTTCTATTATGTCCCACTGATAGATGCCTTCAAAGCCAACAAATTAGCTCCATCAATCCATTTGCAGATGAATGCCTTTTACCCAAAACACCCACTTCATCAACTGTGACAATGTTCTTGAAAAACCTTATGTTTCACCTTTTATATAGTCAGTCACCAATATGCCCCTTTATAATTTTCTATTTGGGGTTATGCCCCATTAGAATTTTCTAGAGGGTGGAGCTCAATGTGTGTAAGTCTTATTTAGGTTGCAATAATAATTATTATTATGTACTGAATGGCAAACATATATATAATATATCTGAAATAATATGAAATGTATAAACAAATATTAAAAAGAACAAAAAGCGGAGAAATTGTTTTTCTGATGATCTGTAATTGTACAAGGCACGACTTTTTTGATGATGTTACAATATCGTTCTGGGAGACACCGTGATGTAGAGGCTAGATGCTTACCTGTGGATCCAAAGGTCGTGGATTCAGGTCCTTCAGGAACTATTTCAAAAAATGGCCTTGACTCCCAGGTCAACCCAGTGGTCAATGGGTACCAGATCTTTACCTGGGAAGTAAAGGTGGCCAGGAGGATGCTGACCACATCACCCACCGAATGCCGAAAGGTCTATGAAATATATGTCTAGCTCTATATGCCCAATATGCATGAAGGTGTGGAAAAGGGTCCTTTACAACTTTTTACATGCATGATCTGTGCTATCCCACGTATATTTTACTTACATGACAAAGAGCTGTCAGTTGATTAAGGTATTCTGCCGGCGATATTATTGTTCCGTTCACCATGGGCTCATAATACTCTGTGATTATTGCTGGGTCTGGCATCTGGGTAGAAAAAAGTGAAGCAGAACATTAATTTTTTCATTTAACTGAAGGCCTTTACTAAGCACTACAGGGTAAAAAACATGTATTAGCAAAAGATGGTATTCTTCTTCTTCTTCACGTTCATAGGCTATCAATTCTAGTCGAAAGATCTGGTTGTTTGCCCACTTCTGGACTTTAGTCCTGTTCCAGAACCTAATTGTTGCATGCATATCTGTTTTACAGGGCTGACTCATTTGTATGCAGAATGTTGGTTCCTTGTCTCTCAGGCAAAGACACTCCGACTTCTAAGTAAGTTCACAGTCTACTCTTATCACATGCCTCTGGGTAAGCAGTTGGTCTATTCTTGTTTTCCCCGACAAGAGGGCCCCAGAACCCATACAGGGAAGATGGTATTCATATGTACTGAGCTGAGTTGGAGTTGGGAACTGACATCATATCACTCAGGATATTCCCAGCACTCTGTCCCCATCTTCAGCAGCCAGCATAGAGTTCCAGTTCCAATGGTACCGTTAGCAGCCATGGTTTTAGAACAGCAGTAGTTACCTCAGCTAAAAAAGGTAAAAGTTAAGTCGGGAGATGTGAACCAGCATCATTGCACACGGTTTTAAATCATAAATGCTCTGCCACCAGTACGGACAGCTGATAAGAAACTGTCCGCCTGTGTCGCCGTCCACAGGCAACTCCCTAGCTACTGTGACATTCTTCTATTTACCCCAGAGTGTTAACCCTGGTACCCATTACCCAGAGGCTGGGTGAACCCGGGGAACCGCCCCAGTTTCGAACACTGGCTGTGGGCTGCAGCTGGATTTGAAAGCGAGTTCTGAATCAACATTCTGAAGTAAGCCAGCAGATTACTGAGAAATTACGTGGAGTTTATATAAATTATGTTACAGACAGCTGATGAGAACCTTAAGTAAAAATAAAAACTGCAATGAATCTAAAAAAAAATTAACAAAGAGAATTACTTGCACCAGAACAGGACAGTGCCAATTCTTTGGGCATACCAAGAGAAGGAAAAATATTTCAGTGCCCACTAACAACAGACGCTCATCTGCAGATCCAATGATTGTGATCCTGACAGAGCCAAAATGGCATTAGCTCTCAGGCTGACCCAGCCTTCAGTGTGTCCCAGGCATAGTCATGAGAAGTAAAGGCGACCTGCGTGATGTTGACTACATCACCCACACAGGACAGACGGGTCTACAAAATATTGGTCTAGCCCTATATGCCCAATAGCCTGAAGGCATATTTTTACTTTTAATAACAATAGGATAGTTGGGGGGGAAAGGTCATGTCGTGATCATGATAGGGGTGGAGATCGGGTGAGCGTGGGACTGTCAGCAAAGCACTGAATATGTGATTGCTCTGGTGTGCACAAAAGCCAAGTGAACTACCTTAAGTAAAAGAAGTGAGCCCAGGTTGTGAACCGGCAGAGGATAGTGGTTGACCAAACATCCTAGTGGACGGTCTGAACAACTGTAGTGTGGCCATGCAACATGAAAAGTGGTTTTAGTTACTGTGTTAGAGTTAGCTAATATGTTGAGTTATTTAGAATGATGTAGCAACGGTAGGATCATATAGTTAATAGTAACAAAGCTGAACATGACAGACTTCCTCTTGTGAATTGTGACCACATTCTGATAGTTGGTTCTTGCTGTCGTCTGACCGTGATTGCAGTGTTAATGTGCACTGAGTGTGTCAGCAATTAACTTTATCACAGCACTCATAACTCTCGGTACTTATCAAGCTCAGGGGGTCGGAGGCAAACATGAGAAGTACAATTAGACATGTCTGTTGGTGCAAGTTGAATGACCTTTATATGCACGTGACTGACCCTGCCAACCGTCTCTTGACCCCTGACAAGAGGCCATCAGGGCATGGAGGAACATCTTTATAAAAAATGACTATGAGTGCATGAGAGTTATGAGGTAAGAACTGACATCATATCATTTGAGGCATTCCCATAAATGGTTCATCCTCATCTTCAGCAGCAAATGCAGAGTCTCAATTCCGATGGTTAACAGCGTGTCTACTTTGCCGATTAGACTTCTGCACAATCAAATCAAAATTAAAAGAAAAAGACCCTTTCCACGCTTTCAGGCGCACTGGGCATACAGGGCTAGGCCTATATTTCTAAGACCAATCTGCACTCGGTGGAGATTTGGTCAGCCTCAACGCTGGCCAACATTATTTTCCATGACTCCACCTGGTCCCCATTCAAGGCTGTGTTTACCTTGGAGATTTTTTTGAAAGAAAAAAAAAAGTGATGTACCATCAGGACCAAAAATCCACGACCTACCGATCCACAGGCCAATGTCTAGCCATTTCCACATGAAAAGGCATTATCAAATGTGTATCATCTCTGTGTAGGGTCTCGAGGCATGGTGTGCACATTGAGTGCTAGAGGTTCCGGGTTCAATCCACGGTAAGGGCTGGGATTTTTTCACGTGAACTTGGACTTCTAGTAATTACCCCTGTTCTCTGGGTAGTGAGATCAGACGCCCATGTGTACTGTGCGCAGGTAAAAAATCCCTTGGCAGTTGGAAATCAAAAAGAGTAGCCTAACGGCGCTGTCCGGGCCAAATTTGGAGTTAAAAAATCAACCCAAAATGTTTCAGGATCCTCGCCGGTGCTACAGAGCATGTGCACTGTGCTGAGCTTCTTTGGACTCGGACTTGAGTTAGAAGAAGAATGCGGCACTTATGGGTTACTACCCTTGTGCCATGGTGTTGATCTGTTGTTCAAACTTCAAATCTCTGGGTAGATTCTGGGGCTTCACTTTGGATAATAAAGAATAGACACGATACCCCCTTAGCAAGCATGTTGTAGGAAGTGGTTTCTTCTTCTTTGTTCACAGGATGAAAGCTCCTATGGCAAGTCCTGGTTGTTCGTCCATATAGACTGGCCTTGAGAGCCAGGGCCCGAGTTTTGCGTGTACATCAATTTTACCAATTTATTTGTGTGCAACTGGTTGTTCCTTGAAACTCAGGCAGATGTACTTCGACTTCAAAGGAAGTCCCCAATTAGTCGACTCCTACAAAATGCTTGTTGGGGAGGCTGGGGGTCTATTCTTGTTTTCTCCACAACGGGGCAACGGAATCCACACGAGAGAGGAGGTGATGAATTAGGGGTGTCTCCTCCAAAGTCGGAGTGTCTCTGCCTGCCATACAAGGAACCAACAGTCTGTATATACAATAAGCAAATCTGAAAAAATGGATGTGCACGAAAAATTCAAGCTCTGAATCAAGAAAAAACTCCAGGAGTGAATGAACGAGAACTCTCAGCTGCAGTTTACAGCCAGTAAATGCTAAGAAAAAGAAGAAGAAGAAATGTGCATCAAAAGTCGGCTGCTATAACATTTTATTTCCAGATGAGCAGAGGCAAATCCTTAGAATGTGGAAAAGAGTAGTTTCTTATTTTCTCTCCCTTTCATTCTCATCTTCATTTCCTCTCTGTATCTCACACACATACCAACACAACCTCTACTTACCAGACATGGATTGAGAACTGTCACCTCATCTGATCCATGAAACTTAATGTTCTTTTCACCTTTTATCTTCACTGAGGAGGAAACAATAAACCAGCACATTTGAAATTTGAAAGATCTACAACTGTTCCATTTATATAATGGCTCTTTCCATAAAAATACTATTAAAAACTTCTTTGCGTTCAGTTTTGCACTCTGAATGTGGTGGGTTCAGTTTCGCACTCTGAATGTGGTGGGTTCAGTTTCGCACTCTGAATGTGGTGGGTTTAGTTTCGCACTCTGAATGTGGTGGGTTCATTTCACGGTGGCACTGGTCTGTGTACGAGTGCAAATTTTATGGAGATCCTTGGGGATCGTCGCCGGAGCTACGAAGGTCATGCTTTGTGCGACGCTTTCGGTAGGCAGTTAGCTATTATGTGGACAGAGACTGAGCCATATTGGATAAAACCCAGTGCAATGAAGTCGATCCACTCACTTTTACCTATTATAGATTAATCATATTTGTGTGCAGACTGTTGGTTCCCTTCACCCCAGACAGACAAACCCTGACTTTGAAGGAAACTCTGAACTGGTAAAGAACCTGTTTCTAGGATGACCATGGACAGGTCTTGACCAGCTTGTGCCCTGGTCTTGGTGCGTCACCATGTGTGGTTCAAGAAAAGATATAAAACCTGAACGAAAAGTATTTTAGCAAGCTCCATGTGTGGTTCAGTATTACTGCCTCCCATTAAAAACTACATGCTATAAATATTAAAATTCCCATCACAGTCGAAGTTGTATTCCACAATATGTTAGTCACTAGTCTTGTTTCCAACATCACTGCAGATGAGTTGCTCCCATAACTGCTTCGTTCATGTGCCTGTGAAAATCAGACAAAATGTCCCTCACTGTCACATTTAAAACCTAGCAAAACAACTTGTCAGCCCGAGCAAAATCTTGAAGCTTGCACCTGCAAAGCAAAAATGCATAAGGCAACTATCAGATGTACTAACACTTTTGGTTCCACACCAGAACTGCAACACACAATATGTGAATCATTCTAATTATCAATTACCACATCATTAGGGATCTTATATAATGTGGCAATATACAAATATAAATCTTGGACTATTTAGCAAAACCTAAAGAAGAAACTCAGGACTTCTGAATTATAGAAATCCTTAGGAGAAAATGGCAAAGAACCCCTGGGGACCCCCCCCCCCCCCCCCCAATGCTTTAAAAAAAAACATTTTACAGAGGTCACTAATAAATATTTAAACAATGTGTTTATTTATATATTTTATATTTTCTGAAATTAAGGGAAGGACTCATACCAGAATTACAATTCACAAAGTTTAAGAGAGAATAATGACAATCTTCACAGAAAAAGAAAAAAAAAAGGCAATATTTTCACAGTACTACCCTCCGCCACCACTTTATTTTTGATGAATATAATCATAATCCCTGGCCTCCTGAACTCCCTGCAGGCGCAAACAGAATTATTACCATTAACTAGACTTCTCAGGGACTAAGGAATGCTGGTTAAAGCAGCTTTTTAAGAGATTAGTAACAGAAGGAAATGCCAGGTTTGCTGCATCTCAGGGCCAGGGGGTTAAGAGCTACAGAAATTCGTAGAATACCATAGATCTAGAAGAAATACATCAACATTATACAAGATTTAAACATGTGAAATATGGACTCATAAACATCTGAAAACAGGCTCACAAACAGTATTATGTCTAAGAAACTGAAATATTTAAAAGGAACACTGTTGTGCAAAGGACCTGCTTCAAGATTAAGTACCCTCCATATTGTTATATGGTGTACAGCAGGGCAGGAAACTTTTTTTTCTGCTGAGGCCATATGAATAATTGTAACATCATTAACTGGCCATACAACATTCTCTGCATAAACATTAGCCAGCTATGTTTGGTCAAACATTTAATTGCAGTGGCCTTGGTAGGGTCAAACCAAATGATGTCTTGGGTCTTGTGAGACCAACGGGTAAGAAGTTCCCCACCCCTGGTGTCGAGAAATAGACTTCACAGAAAGAATGAATGCTGTCAAAATGTGAGTATATAGAAGCAGTTAACAGATCATCATCATAATCAAGTGCCTTGTCAACTGGTGTGGGCGATCATGCCTCTCCCCAACAGCATGTATCAGTTTGTGTGCTCACAAGCCTCCATGCCATGACAAAATGCTGTCAAAAATCTTCTCACGTTATCTTCCTCTGACTCTTTTTTCCACAGATCTTTCTTGTGGTCACAAAATGTTCTAGTTTCCTTCTTATCATAATTCGACTAAAATATTATGACTATCTCTTTTGGATGTTCTTGATAAGTTTTCTTTGAGCTCTCGCCTCTTTCTAAAAATCTTGGTTGCTGACCAAGGAATTCGGCATTTCCAAGGCTATTTAACTACATCTAACAGATACACTGGGAAAACAAAATAATTTTAAAAAAAAACAAAAAACAGATTGCAAGCCACTGCACTATAATACCTCCCTAGACAAGAGGACAAACAGCATATTTGTTCTTTCTTTGTTTTTTTCTGAGAACGACATCAGAGCTATCACCTAAACCATAAAACTGAGAATCTAACAATCAAAGACCTACTTTTATAAGCCACGTTTGGAGCGGTCATGATGGTGGACACATCAAATTCTTGCTCCAGTCTCTGGTTGAACACGTCCATGTGAAGCAAACCCAAGAACCCCAGTCTGTAACCTTGACCCAAAGCTGGGCTGAGGACAGAGCAATGTTATTTTAAATTTAACTATTTAGAGAATTCTCCACCAGCTCATTACGTGCAACAGTCGCTGTGGTGTAGCGGTTAGATGCTTAGCTGCAGATCGGAAGGTCCTGAGTTCAGGTCATGATGGAACCAGCTTTCTTGCAAAAATCACCTTGGCTTCCAAATCGACACAGACTTGAGTGCGTACCAGGTGCAGTCCTGGGAAGTAAAGGTGGCTGGCGTGATGTTAAACACATCACCACGAAGTGTCAATTGGCACCGTACTCACTGGCTGTTAACCCCGGCAGAAAGTCCTGGTTGTTCATTTACTTCTGAACTTTTGGTTATGTTCCAAAACTTGAGTTTCGTATGTACATCCGATTGATAGATCTGGCTTATCTGTGTGCAGACTGTTGGTTCCATGACCCTCCGGCCCATGCATTCCACCTTCTTAGAAAATGCTGACAATGTTCCCAGTTGGGAACCTGTTTCTAGGATGACCATGGAGGTGTAGGCAGGTGTAGACCAGTATCAGCCATGGTCCTGGTGCACTAAGGACATGCAGTTCAGCAGCTCTACCTCCTGAGAGCTGCAGCATGAAATATCAAGAAAGTTTCAGAGAAAGAGAGGCAGGGGAAGACCAGGAGAGATAGAGAGACAGAGATTTAAAAAAAAAAAAGAGAGAGAGTTAGTTAGTTACATATCCTATACATTACGAAGAACCAACCTCAGCCTTTTTCAGCTGTTGTGGTTTTTCAAGAGAAATTTTACATTCAGTAGTTTGCCGTTACTTCTGAATGGTCAGCTCTCAGTACCACTGTCGAAACCAATGCAAGACAAATCGTCTGCAGCTGCGATTGAACCTGGCATCCCGGCACTAGAAAGCGCCTCACAATGCCTAAGCCAGAGATTTGAGAGATGAGAGATGAGAGAGAGAGAGAGAGAGAGAGAGAGAGAGAGAAAGAGAATATATGACAATCTGACATCTGGACATGGAAGAAAATCTGTTACGGAGACATAAGGCTGTGAGTAGACATCATTGCCAAACATCGCAGCACACAGCATGGACTATTACAAGAAGTAGTAGACATTTTGCAGTTTGCCCCTCACCTGTTATCCATTTTGACTTGAACACTGCGATCGTTAAGAGTGAGTTTCTCTATCGCATTTCTCAAAGTCAGGAAGTCAGTCTGCTCGCTGGGAAACATCCCAGCAAAAACCTGAAGCAATGCAAGCAAGAAAGCTTCTCATAAATATGTTTAGAGAAATTCTAAAAATATGTTTGCTTGTTGTGAATTTAAATAATGAGGACATACAACACACTGCTCTATTTACTGTCTGACATATTATATTTCACTATACGTCATTGGATGCACCATATCTTTATACTAAAGAATCATGTATACAAAAGGATCATATGGTTAATCTTATTCTGGGGTCGCATTAGTGCAGTCAATAGGAGCCTCGCTTTCAAATCCAGTTGTAACTCGTTGCAGGCCACAGTCAGTGCTTGAAACCAGGCCGTTCCTGGGGTTCACCCAGCCTCTAGAATATGGGTACCAGAGTTGACACCCTGGGGTAAATGGAGGAACGTCGCTGTAGCTACGGAGTTATGTGCGGACGGCGACACAGGCAGAAAATTTCTTATCAGCGGTCCGTACTGGTGGCAGAGCACTTATGGTTTATAACCGTGTGCAATGACGTTATTTCACATCTCCCGACTTTACCTTTACCTTAAACTTTTGTGGTGGGATGTATAGTGTTCTTTCTTTGCATTCAGCGGCCGTAAATTCCAGTGGAAAGTCCTGGTTATTCGCCCATTTGGACTTTGACTTTGTACCAGAACCGGAGTTTTGTGTGTACATCTGTCTCCTGGCTTATTTGTGTGCAGTTCTTTTTCCCTACCTCTCAGGCAGATGTCCTCCGACTTCAAAGGAAGTATGTATAGTGTAAGATTGATAATTTTATTTGTGTATTTCAGTTAAATGAGTAAATTTGTGTGCTTTATTTTATGCAGATCTACATTCTGTAGTAATGCACTTGATGGGATACAGCGAGAGGTGTTTATAATTCAAACACTATGAACTCTTCAAGCCAGTACTTTCAAGTTCGGCTCATCTGAGCTCTGACAAGGCACTGTAGGTACTGGAGTGAGTTGATGCTGAGACTTTCCACCTGACCTAGTACCATCTCCAAGAGAATCGCTGCAGAGCTCTCCTTCCCCTCTCCAAGGCCAGAAACCACAAGCTGTACTTGAGCTTCACATATTCAAATCCACAAGCATATTAATTAGGTCATAATTCCACACAGCACGTACAGACCAGACTGATCCATCAAAATATCTAGTTTGAGAATGGAGGTGGAGGCAGTCATTGCTGCCCTTCGCTTGCTTGAGAATCAGCTGTACACACATGCTGTGATTGTAACTGACTCACAGAGCATGTTGATAAAGGTGGAGACAGGTAGGCTCCGTGCAAAGTGGAAGCATCACTTCAGAGGTCCTGGGTAGTTAGTATCCTTCAGATATTCTCTCCAGGTCATGCCGGTGTGTTGGGAAATGAACCGGCAGATAGACTGGCTGGTTCTGCACCACGTGGCGGTGAATTGATGTATGACAAGCTGGACGTTGGGAGTGCCCTCTGGGAGCGAGTGAACAGTGCGGAAGCGCAAACAGATCATTACTATGGTTTGAGGAGAATGGCGCCCTGAGGAGTTACCAGGGGATCTGGCCGACGCCCAACATTCAAGGGAAGGACGAGACAGATATACAATTTACTGGTGCCATCGGTATTGGAACTCTTCGTTTGCTGCTGAAGATGGGGGCGGAGTGCTTATGGGGGTGTCCTGAGTGCTGTGATGTCAATTCCTAATTCAACATTCAACCAGGCTGATCCCTGTGTATGTTCCAGAGCCTCATTTTGAGAGGAGAAAAAAACGAATACACCTACGGCCTTAATAAACATATCCCATAAGGTAACTAATGAAGGGTCTACTGAAATATAATTAAAGATCCACTGAAATATTATTACAATACTGCTAAAATTTAGGTAAAGATGTGCTGAAATCTAATTATAAGATCTGCTCAAATTTAATTAAGGGATTGTTGAAATAGTATGTGTTGGCCAAAAAAGCCACAGATACTGCGGGCTAGCTGTAAACCACAACACAACATGCCAACTTCTTTGTTTAATGGCAAAGACAGAAGAAGAAAAAAGGCCTACATGAGGGTTGTAGTTAACTACAGACTGACAAACAGCTGGGCCCAGTGGGTAAAAACACTAGCCTGTCATTTGAGAGACAAAAGTTCAAACCCTCAGTAAAGTAAATGATTTGTTTCTGTCGGGGGCAAAAAATTGAATCCTAACCTGCACAGTCTATGGTGACAGCACTAGCCACGTGGCCCTAAACCCCTCGGCTCATGAATCACCTGACCCACACAACTCTAAAAAGTGGTGGCTACAGACAGTCTTTTTCCTCTTCTTCTCGTTCATCAGCTGTAAATCAAATGCACAGTTCTGGCTGTTTGTCCACTTCTGGACTGTGGTCTCGTTCAGTGTGCACATCCATTTTACAGTTTATTTGTATGCAGACTGCTGGTTCCTCCATTCTAAGGCACATAAAACCTGATTTAGAAGGAAACGCCCCTCATTAGTTGCGTTTAGGACATGCTTGTTAGGGGGCAAAGGGTCTATCTCCCCACCCACCTCCAAGCATGGCCCCAGAACCATATAGGTAGCTACAGGCAGTAAACATTGTCTACAGCAGGATATTCAACTAAGTTTACTCAGGGGCCAAACTGTTTAAAATGGGAATCGTCACAGGCCAGAGGCTGGAGAGGCATAGAAAGATCATTAATACAATTAGCAATGATCCTCATCTGCTAGCTAGGCCTCTGTGGAATAACTTCTGCCCATGGACTACCAGTTAAATATCCCCATTCTACAAACTTCAACCCAATGCCTAGACGGAGAGTTGGATTTAATAAGACATAAACTTCATACCATAGGAGTGGCACTCCGGAAACCTGGCAATGGCTGGACTGGGACTTTCTCATGAAAGAATGTGTCTCCTACCTGGGCTTCATCAACATTACGCATATTCATCATCGCGTATCCTACCTGTCCTGCATACCTGACGAATATAAAGAAATTTCTAGTTACATAATTCATAGCCACTCAAGCTTTAGTAACAATAATTCACATGATAAAAATGTAATAAACTCATGTTGTGATGTCGCTTACAGCTAGGATGTAATATCTATGCCTTTCAACACAATACATTCAATTTCAGAAAAACCCTAATTAGTCGCCTTTTACTAAATGCTTGTTGGGGCCAGTAGGACAACTGGTTTATAGGCCCCGGAACCCACATGGAAAGTAACAAGAATTCACAAGATAGAGATTTAATAAGCACGCTTGCTGTAATTATGCACCACCCGGATCTTCTTTTGAGTTTACCCTTAAAAGAAAAAGGCGGCTGGCACACTGTACTGTGGTTTACAGTCAGGTTGTGATTTTCTTTTTCTTCTTCTTTCGTTCCCTTGAAATAAACTATCTAAATCTGCAATGCTGTCTCTGGTACAAACTTCACAGTCTTTCAGTCTTTTGTAGCAGCCTGTAAACCAGTGTCTCTCTTGGCCAGATTTTGCCTGGAAATGTTGTATTTGGGACAATCTTGGAGGATGTGATCTGTTGTTTTAGGTGCCAGTCCACATGTGCACATGGCTGATTCACTACGAAGTCGACTGTGTTCTGTTCTAAGGTGTAGAATAATAACTTGCTCTGGTCTGTCCATAAAATGGTAATCACGCTGTGCCAGTTTTTGGTGGCTTTCTGACTGATTTGATTATTCTCTTCTTCTGTTGATGAGAGATTGGTATGTCAGGTTGCACCTTCCTTAGCTAGTTTATCAGCTCTTTCACTTCTGGGACTCTAAAGTAAGGCAGTATCCACAGCATAGTTACCTTACATAGGTAGGCTGTGATCTTTCAGACCAACGCATCCAATTTTAGGAAAGCCCTATTTCTTTGCCTTTTATAAAAATGCCTGTAAGGTGTAGTGAATCTATTCTCTTCAACCCCCCACCACCACCCTCTTGGAACCCACATGAGAAATTAATAGGGTAATAAACGAAGCAAAGAATAGTAACACTGCAATCTACCATGCTGCAGAATGGTAGCTGTTGGTAATACAGGCTAAAACGCCTGCTTGTTGGCCAAGTGGTCAAAAGTCCAAGTACTCAGTGAGGTTGAAATTAACCAAGACTTAAAGGATTATCCTGTCTAAAACGGGTACTAGGAAATGTCACAGGAAGCAAAAGTGGCCAGAGATACTTGCCACATTATCCAATGAGTGTGAATTGGTTTTTAAAAAAAAAACATGGGGGCTAGACCTAATTGTCTAAAGGTAGAAATGAGCCCTTTACTGTTTTAAATGACAAGACAGAGTTTGGTTAAAAATGGCTAGGTATTATGGCACACAACATAACAGTAAACAGTAACAAAGGTTAATCTTATGGCACCTGCCATGACAGCTAGCAGTAACAAATTATGAAGTTTCTATCCGATGCATGACAGTGAAAAAGTATTGATTATTTGAACAGCACATGAGGAGGCAGCAAACAGCAATCAGTATGGCACACAACATGACATTAAACAGTAATCAATTATATCAATATGGCACATGGCATGACAGTAAGCAGTAACAAATTATTAGATATCAGTATTGCCCTTGACATGACGGTAACAAATTATGAGAAATAAGAATGGCACATGACATGAAGGTAAAAATGGTAAGTCATCAATATGGCACACAACACGACAGTAAACAATTATATAAATATGGCACATGGTACGACAGTAAGCAGTAAAAAAATCATTAGATATCAGTATTGCATGACATGACAGCAACAAATTATGAGATGCAGGAATGGCATATGACATGACAGTAACAAATGGTAAGATATCAACATGGCACATGACAATACAGTAAAGATTGATAAGATATCAGTATGGCAAATAACACAACAGCAGCCAGTAACAAATGATAAGGTACTCACAAAGTATCACAAGGAACTTGAGTTGGGTACATGATGCCAACTTCTGTAAGCTCATATGTCTTACCACTGCTCGCACAAGTGATCCTTTCACCTGAAATTATAATTTACCACAAAAAATTCCTGTAATCATGTTTCTTGAGACCCAAGGGTGATAGGTTCAACTTCGCAGCAAGATGGATTAAAATTTAAAAAAAAAAAACATTTTAGGCTCTCCTAGCACATTTGGACGCAAGCGGGACAGCTTCGGTCCGCTTAGTGGGAGTTCTCTCCCTTGGCCGCATTCAAAACAAGTAGCGGAAAAAGTCACGAATCAAATGACATACTTACCTATCAACATCCGGGTGCGTGTAGGGTTGCGTACAGTTGCGTGTAGGGTTGCGTAGTCATCATACGGTTGCGTCTAGGGTTACCTATCATCATACGGTTGCGTGTAGGGCTGCATAGGGTGTCTATCATCATCATAAGGTTGCGTGTAGGGTTGCGTAGGGTGTGGGTTGGGGTTAGGGATAGGGTTAGGGGTAGGGTTAGGGTTAGGGTTAGATGTGAAAATGGTGACGTAGAACTTCCAAATACTTGGCGACAATCTGATGCTTGTGGGAGTGGCGCCACTGGAAGTGTGCCAAATATGACGGCAATAGGGCGCGGCTGGTGCCCAATCGGTGGCGAATTGTCCGTGTCAGTAGCATCCACCGTCCGTCGACTGTTTGGGTGTGTATGTGACTGTGCGCGATTATTGGGAACTACGGCATCAAAATTGTCACATCTAACGCTAAACCTAACTCTACCCCTAACCCTAACCTTACCCCTAACCCTAACCGTAACCCTACCCCTAACCCTACTCCTAACGCTACCCCTAACCCTAACGCTACCTCTAATCCTAACCCTAACCCCAATCCTACCGCTAACCCTACCCCTAACCACGCAAAATTATCGGTCATTAAAGCATACAGATCGGCAAAACACAAAAAAAAAAAAAAAAAAACTTGACTTCCCCGCAGCGTCAAAAGAAAAACCCAGATCTGGGGGACACAACCAAGCATTGGCAGCCCTGATGTCGACCTCACTGTCTTGTTTGATTCGTGACTTTTTCCGCTACTTGTTTTGAGTGATGCCAAGGGAGAGAAATCCCACTAAGCCGACCGAAGCCGTCCCGCTTGCGTCCAAATGTGCTAGGAGAGCCACATTTTAATTTATCCCAAATGCAGATTAGCCTTACTTGTATGCAGACTGTTAGTTCCTTGCTTCTCAGGCAGAGGCACTCAACTTTGAGGAAAACGCCCCTAATTAGTCAACTTTCATGACGCTCTTGTTAGGGGTTGGGGGGTCTATTATTATTTTTTCACCAAAATGGTAGTCCTTGGTGATCAAGTAAATATTAAAATGACAGCAGCAGATAAATTCTTTCTTCTTTTGTTCATCCTAGGATGTAACTGTGTTATGCTCGTTTATAGCTTAGCTGCAAATAGTGCACTTTTTGACTGACACATCCGATTTCTTAAAGCATCTGTTGGCCAGGTTGACCTTCCGGGTTAGTTTTGTGGGACTCTGCACAGCCTCACTGTTGCATCCCAATCTTTGTTTCCTCATCCACAGCTAATCCCCTCCCCCCTCCCCTCCTCCGCATGCTGGTCAAGAGCAGCCATGTGGTGCTGGTAAGATATGGCAGGAAAGAACATGAGCATTCCCCACAATATAAAGAGGCTTCCATAAATGCAGAGCCGATAGATAGTGCTCTGCTAATGGGCTCATACAAGCAACTGACACATAGTGTCCCAATGTGGGTTCTTGAGGCCCCATTTTAGGGGGGAAAGAGAATAAACCCACTGTCCCCTAACGGCGTCCATGGCTAAGGCGTTGCAAGTCCGACTCGTAATCCAGCGTACCGCGATCGAAACCCACTGCTGGCTGCGTGGATTTTTATCGTGGTATGGGACGTCGCAGGTCGACCCAGCCTCAAATGGGTACCAGGATGGGCTGTCCTGGGAAAGTAAAGACAGCCGGCGTAATGCTAACCACATTACCCACCGAGTGCTGATGGTCTGTAAAAAAAAAGGGCGCTCTTCCCATATGCCCGATACGCCTAAGGGCGTGGAGAGGGATCTTTACTCTTTTTTTTACTGTCCCCTAACAAGCTTAATGTACCAGGTGACCAATTAGAGGTTTGCTGAAACTAGATGTCTTGTGGTGAAAGGTGCAGATATCACAGCCTGGCTGTACACCACAACACAACATTCCAACTGCTCCTGTGAGAAACACATTTTGCTCATGACTGCTCAACCTCATGACTGCTTAACCTCATGACTGCTTAACCTCATGACTGCTTAACCTCATGACTGCTCAACCTCATGACTGCTCAACCTCATGACTGCTCAACCTCATGACTGCTCAACCTCATGACTGCTCAACCTCATGACTGCTCAACCTCATGACTGCTCAACCTCATGACTGCTTAACCTCATGACTGCTTAACCTCATGACTGCTTAACCTCATGACTGCTTAACCTCATGACTGCTTAACCTCATGACTGCTTAACCTCATGACTGCTTAACCTCATGACTGCTTAACCTCATGACTGCTTAACCTCATGACTGCTTAACCTCATGACTGCTTAACCTCATGACTGCTTAACCTCATGACTGCTTAACCTCATGACTGCTTAACCTCATGACTGCTTAACCTCATGACTGCTTAACCTCATGACTGCTTAACCTCATGACTGCTTAACCTCATGACTGCTTAACCTCATGACTGCTTAACCTCATGACTGCTTAACCTCATGACTGTATGCTGGTGTTCTGGGACAAGACCACAAAGTCCAAAAGTGGACAAACAACTAGAACTTTCCGCTCTACAGCCTGTGAACACGGAGAAGAAGACATCCTTCTATTGAGATTATCCATCATGGACTGCCCCTTCAGAGGCCAGCAGGAAGTGGCCTGCAGACCTGCAATTTCACTGATCTGTACACAATAAATACTTTTTTTCTTCAGCACATTAGACCGTTCTCAAAGTGATTTCACATTGTAGAATTAATTCCACCAACAAGATTTTTCTCTGATGGTATGCAATCCTGTGCAGTCCTTTTTTTTCTTTCTAGGTATTATGTTTTACAACTCTGCTGTAACAGACTATTTGTGGTAACAGCATATTTTTATTCTTTTGTGGTGAGCACCGCTACCTTTTTTAGGCATCTTTTTTTTTCAGTGCTACTCTAATAGAACACTTTGTGGTAAGCACTGCTACCTTTTAAGGTATCTTTTCCCCCCAGTGCTACTCTAATAGAACACTTTGTGGTAAGCACTGCTACCTTTTAAGGTATCTTTTCCCCCCAGTGCTACTCTAATAGAACACTTTGTGGTAAGCACTGCTACCTTTTAAGGTATCTTTTCCCCCCAGTGCTACTCTAATAGACCACTTTTTGGTAAGCACTGCTACCTTTTAAGGTAACTTTTTTCCCCCAGTGCTACTCTAATAGAACACTTTGTGGTAAGCACTGCTACCTTTTAAGGTATCTTTTCCCCCAGTGCTACTCTAATAGAACACTTTGTGGTAAGCACTGCTACCTTTTAAGGTATCTTTTCCCCCCAGTGCTACTCTAATAGACCACTTTGTGGTAAGCACTGCTACCTTTTAAGGTATCTTTTCCCCCCAGTGCTACTCTAATAGAACACTTTGTGGTAAGCACTGCTACCTTTTAAGGTATCTTTTCCCCCCAGTGCTACTCTAATAGAACACTTTGTGGTAAGCACTGCTACCTTTTAAGGTATCTTTTCCCCCCAGTGCTACTCTAATAGAACACTTTGTGGTAAGCACTGCTACCTTTTAAGGTAACTTTTTTCCCCCAGTGCTACTCTAATAGAACACTTTGTGGTAAGCACTGCTACCTTTTAAGGTATCTTTTCCCCCAGTGCTACTCTAATAGAACACTTTGTGGTAAGCACTGCTACCTTTTAAGGTATCTTTTCCCCCCAGTGCTACTCTAATAGAACACTTTGTGGTAAGCACTGCTACCTTTTAAGGTATCTTTTTCCCCCAGTGCTACTCTAATAGAACACTTTGTGGTAAGCACTGCTACCTTTTAAGGTATCTTTTCCCCCCAGTGCTACTCTAATAGAACACTTTGTGGTAAGCACTGCTACCTTTTAAGGTATCTTTTCCCCCCAGTGCTACTCTAATAGAACACTTTGTGGTAAGCACTGCTACCTTTTAAGGTATCTTTTCCCCCCAGTGCTACTCTAATAGACCACTTTGTGGTAAGCACTGCTACCTTTTAAGGTATCTTTTTCCCCCAGTGCTACTCTAATAGAACACTTTGTGGTAAGCACTGCTACCTTTTAAGGTATCTTTTCCCCCCAGTGCTACTCTAATAGAACACTTTGTGGTAAGCACTGCTACCTTTTAAGGTATCTTTTTCCCCCAGTGCTACTCTAATAGAACACTTTGTGGTAAGCACTGCTACCTTTTAAGGTATCTTTTCCCCCCAGTGCTACTCTAATAGAACACTTTGTGGTAAGCACTGCTACCTTTTAAGGTATCTTTTCCCCCCAGTGCTACTCCAATAGAACACTTTGTGGTAAGCACTGCTACCTTTTAAGGTAACTTTTCCCCCCAGTGCTACTCCAATAGAACACTTTGTGGTAAGCACTGCTACCTTTTAAGGTATCTTTTCCCCCAGTGCTACTCTAATAGAACACTTTGTGGTAAGCACTGCTACCTTTTAAGGTATCTTTTCCCCCCAGTGCTACTCTAATAGAACACTTTGTGGTAAGCACTGCTACCTTTTAAGGTATCTTTTCCCCCCAGTGCTACTCCAATAGAACACTTTGTGGTAAGCACTGCTACCTTTTAAGGTAACTTTTCCCCCCAGTGCTACTCCAATAGAACACTTTGTGGTAAGCACTGCTACCTTTTAAGGTATCTTTTCCCCCCAGTGCTACTCTAATAGAACACTTTGATGAGGGCCGCTAATTTAAGGAAATTTTTTCATCAGTGCTGCCCCAACAGATCACTCTGTAAGGTATTTTTTTTTCAGTGCTACTCTGTTAGACCACTTTGTGATGAGCACATACATTTTTTTTTTTTTTTGCTTTTAAATAAATTCCCTGCTATCAACTCACCTTTTTTAATAACACCATCACAGATGGCTAGGTGTGCGACCACGCCTTTGTACCGATCATACCAGGAATCAAACACAAATGCTTTCAGTGGCTTGCTTCTGTCACCAGGAGGACTAAATAGAAAGAAACAAAAGAATATACTTCAACAGGTAGCCTGGGAGATGAATTACTGAGTTCCATTTTAAAAAAAAATTCTTCTGTAAAACCACATCTCCGAGGCCTCCAGAAATTGTTTGGCCTGCCTACCGATTGTCCAGGATTCACAGCCGTATGTTAAAACTGGATGTATGTAGCAAGCAAGAATTCTTTTTCTAACTCTCAATGACAAAAATATATCAAGTTATATAAAGTGGTAATCTTCTTCTCTTCTTCGCGTTCACCGGTTGTAAACTCTGGCGGAAGGTTCTGGTTGCTCATCCACTACTGAACTGCAGTCCTGCTCCAGAAGCTGAGTGTTGCGTGTGCATCAGTTTTACAGATCTAATTCTCTTGAATACACACTGTTGGTTCCTTGCCTCTCCGGCAGATGCACTCCGACTTCAAAGGAAGCTCCCCAATTAGTCGACTCTTACGACATGCTTTTGGGGAGGCAGTGGGTCTATTCTTGTTTTCCCCACAATGGGGCCCCGGAACCCACACAGGGGGGACTTTATTCTGATTCCAGAACTTGAATACAGAATTTCCATTTTACATATATGCTTTTTATACTAAATACAAGCTGGTGGTTACTGACCTTGATTGAAGATGCACTCTGACCGAGTGAAACACCCCTAAACCGTCCCCTTTTATGACATGTTTATTGGTGGCAAGGCGAGGGGTTGGGAGGCGGGGTGGGGGAAAGTATTTCTTCTTCCCCCAAAAGGGGGGTCCCGGAACCCACACTGGGATTAAACACAGAATATTTCCAGAGACAAATGCAATCCACACATCAACCAATTTTTTTCTTTAGTGATCAAAGTTTGCTAATTTGGCAAGGGTCACAAACCTGATGATTCACGTTAGATCTTCACCAGTGCCATAAAGTTTGTCTTACAGGCTGGATACTTGCCTGTATGGCCAAAGGTGTTAAGTTTGAAACCACACCAAATTAAACTTTTACAACTGGCCTTAGTTCCCAGGTCCATCCAGCCTAAAATGAGCACCAGCAAATATTCTGGGAAGCAAAGGCAGCCAGCGTGATGTTGATGTCACCATTAGTTTAGGGTAGAATGGTCTATAAAAATACTGGTCCAGCTCCAGTGGCATAAAAAAATTCCTTCATATGCATCATACATTTATTCATTCAGGGAAAGATATAAAACCGAGCAAAAAGGAAATCGGCGAGCTCCACTATATAACAAACACAAACAAAACGTGAACATTGCGGCTATGGAGCCTTCTTCAGCACATACATAGATTAGACAATACTACACAAATACACAATATCACTTATCTCCGTATCTCGAGGCAGCCAGGTCGATACCAAGACAATAGTCATGTGAGGCATGTGGGGCCGGGAAAATAAATATCCCTCTAGGATTTAGATGAAGCTGTGTTGGCTATTCATTGACCTATTGTGCCATTATATGTCACCTTTGGCTCCTTACAATAATGTTTGCTGGGGTTTATTTATCTTGGACATCCTCCTTTCCTTACTTTCACATTTCAGTGCCTATTTGGTTATTCTCTGTTTGTTTTTCTCTCACAATATGTCCAATAAAGTGCCATCTTCTCTGTCCTATGACTGTTGATGTTCAACCATCACGAGCGATGAAGGCCACTTTCATCTAAAGTAGTAATGATCAACGATTATGAGTACAAAGGTGGCTGATTAGTCCAATATGAGCCAGAAAAGTTCTTGAGAAGTGAGGACAACATATGGAAGCAGCAGTAAGTGTGGGATTAGCAGTACGATTCTTTCTAGTCTGCCTCCGTTTCTCTGCCTGTGCATCCTCCGCTGGTGGCAGGCCAATGCACCATGCCTGAGGGACGTACCCCGTATAGAACAAGTCTTGCGCAGCAGCCTCCCACATTGCTGTATTTGTGCCTAAAGAATTGACAGCAGTTTTGAGAGTGTCCTTATAGCGCTTTTTCTGTCCTCCCTGTGACCTCTTCCCTTGCTGGAGATCGCCATAAAATACTCTCTTTGGGAGGTGATATTCTGGCACGCAGGTTAGGTGACCAGTCCAACGCAGCTGACAATTCTTTAGTATCATATGGAAGCTAGGCAGGTTGATACTGGTGGCTGCACAGATATTTCTTAGATTTCTTCACCACTCTCAAATTCCTCCCATTTTATATTCATCATGCTTACTTGGTGAGAATTTTATTGTAAATGTACATGAACCCCATCAGAAATTAGGTAGCCTTTAACTCTGACATATGCAAAGGGGGTGTACGCACCTTGGTATTCTCTCAATGACAGCGGATAAAAGTTCATCAATGCCCGTTCCTTGCTTAGCTGATATCTAGGATTTCAGAAAATTAAACACATATTAAAATCACAAATACGATGTCTTTAAAATGTTTTACTGCCTGTATATACACCAACTTAAAGTTAAAGGCTAAAGTTGACAGGACTGACATCACTGCACTGGGTTTTATCCTCCTCCACAGAGCAGCTAACCACTTGCCGAGAGCATCGTACAAAGCACGAACTCTGTGGCTCCGGTGATGATCCCCATGGATCTCAGTAAAAATTGCACCCGTGAACAGAACAGCGCCACCATAAAACAAACCCACGACCTACACTGCGTGAGGCAAGGGGCTTGACCATTTTGCCATGGAGACCCCTAGCTAAGAGTCATGTCACTAGCTGAGGTTCCAGCATCATTGCAGATGGGTTACCCCATAACTGCTCCAATTATGTGCAAGTGAAAATTATAACAAAGTGTCCGACACTGTCTCCTCTTAAAACTAGTAAAAAAACGTGTCAGTCCCAGCAAAATCTTGCGCAAGCAAATGAAAATACACAAGGCTGCTGTCACACGTTCCAACACTAATGACCCCCACACCAGAATTGCAGATCACCATTAGTGCAAATGATCAATCACGAAAGCCACAAAAGTACACACCATTCTGAACATAATCAACCACCAACCAACACACTGCAGGCACAACAGGAAAGAAATTCCAAATGGAACCAGCAGCTCATAGTGTTGCACCAAGCTTGGTATGCATGAAGGAAACAGGTTCTTGAGTCTGGGAATTTAAGGCCACATGGCAAGTGCAGTCGCCACAAACTGTGCAAGCTATGGTTATTCTAAAAAAAAAAAATTTTAACTGTGTCCCCCAGCAGTTAAAAAATATCTGTCACTTTACAGAGAGAAAAATATGGGTCTCACAAATAAATGCCTTTCATTCAAATCACTCCATATTTGATGCAACAGTGACAAATCAGTGAAATTACAAATTCACAGTGCAAAAAAGCAAGAATAGACCCACAGCCTACCCAAAAGCATGTCGTAAGAGTCGACAAATTGGGAGCTTCCTTCGAAGTCGGAGTGCATCTGTCTGAGAGGCAAGGAACCAGCAGACTGCATTTAAAAGTGTCAGTTCTGAAAACGGATGCACATGCAACACTCAGGTTCTGGAACAGGACTGCAGTTTAGAAGTGGACGAACAACCAGAACTTTCCGCCGGAGTTTGCAGCTGGTGAACGTGAAGAAGAAGAAGAAGAATTTCATAGAGACAAAAAAAAAAAAAAAAAAACAATCAGATATGATAGGGCTTTGAACAAAAACATTAAAAGCATGATAGACATTACAATTACCATGCAATTGTCATGTAACATAACAACACTGTTGTTAAGGATTGCAAGAGTGTTAAGTATGTGACACAACAGTGCAGACAAACATAGTGACATTATATTGTGAAGATGACAATTGAGTGACACGCTCACCCCAGTAATTTACCTTTAATATTTCCGACTTCTCGATGTCAAACACATTATGCATCTGTTCGGCAACTTGCTCAGGCTGTGCATTTTTCAAGTCAATTTTATTCAAAACTGGAATAAGAATCAGCTCCGCCTCAAAAGCCATGTAAAAATTTGCGACTGTCTGTGCCTGCACTCCCTGTGAATAATATGGTGTGTTAATTTTTAAAAACAAACTAGACACTTATTACCCAGCTTCACCTGGTAAGATTTAAACTCATTCTTTTTTTTCATTATGGGAATGGCTGTGGCGGAGCGGCTAGACGCTCGCCGCGGATCGGAAGGTCGTGGGTTTGCTCCCTGGCGGAGCTGGATTTTTTTCAAAAATGACCTTGGCTCCCAGGTCAACCCAGCCTTGAGTGGGTACCAGATGCAGTCCTGGGAAGTAGAGGCGGCCAGCCTGATGCTGCCCACATCAGCCATCTTGTACCGATTGGTCTATAAAATATAGGTCTAGACCTATATACCTAAAGGCGTGGAAAAGGGCGTTTTTTCATTATATTGTATTCACCCTGTTAACACATTTTTATTTTTATTATTTGGTAACATTAATTTTAGTCTCTTGTTAATAATCAGTGTTGCTGAACAATGTTGAGGGATCTCTTGCCCTTGACAATCCCACATACAACTGTTCATGCGAAAAGCACTCGCCAGTCAAATCCAAGCTTGTGACAGAGTGATTGCCCCTGTGCCTTATTGATTTTGTCTTAAATGCAAGCAGAACACAAACTTGCAATAATAATGTTAAAATATGAAAGATGATAGATGAAAATAGCACAGCTGACCTAGAAATAGCAGCTAGAATGATAAATGCAAATGTCATGTTGCCACTGTTCACCGTTTTGGAGGAGTCACTGTGACAGACAGATACAAGATTTTGTGTTCTATTTTATAGATTTTCATCCAAAAAGGAAGATAATTTTAAAAAATATATATATATATATATATATATATATATATATATATATATATATATATATATATATATATATATATATATATATATATATATATATATATATAAAATATTTAAAAAATTAATACTTATAATTTTATAATTAATATCAGTATTTTATCTTTCAAATTTCTTCCAAGAAAATCTATATGGAAGTAGACTTGGGTACAAATGAAAGTACACCTGTGGAAAAAGACTAGGCAATTATGAAAGCATATGAAGCATCTACTATGTAAGTAGACTGTGCATCTACTATAAAAGCAAACTGGAAAGAGGGGTGCAGAGAAGTGAATTGGGATATCTATGGAGGTAGACAGAGGCATCTTTGGAAGTACACCTATGTAAGTAGGCTGGGGCCCTATGGAAGTAGAGGTATCTATTACAGTAGACAGAGGACTTATGGAAGTAGACAAATGCTCTGTGGAAGTAGAGGTATCTATTACAGTAGACAGAGGACTTATGGAAGTAGACAGCGGCCTTATGGAAGTAGACAGCGGCCCTATGGAAGTAGAGGTATCTATTACAGTAGACAGAGAACTTATGGAAGTAGACAGCGGCCCTATGGAAGTAGAGGTATCTATTACAGTAGACAGAGGACTTATGGAAGTAGACAGCGGCTCTGTGGAAGTAGAGGTATCTATTACAGTAGACAGAGGACTTATGGAAGTAGACAGCGGCCCTATGGAAGTAGAGGTATCTATTACAGTAGACAGAGGACTTATGGAAGTAGACAGCGGCCCTGTGGAAGTAGAGGTATCTATTACAGTAGACAGAGGACTTATGGAAGTAGACAGCGGCCCTTTGGAAGTAGAGGTATCTATTACAGTAGACAGAGGACTTATGGAAGTAGACAGCAGCCCTATGGAAGTAGAGGTATCTATTACAGTAGACAGAGGACTTATGGAAGTAGACAGCGGCCCTATGGAAGTAGAGGTATCTATTACAGTAGACAGAGAACTTATGGAAGTAGACAGCGGCCCTATGGAAGTAGAGGTATCTATTACAGTATACAGAGGACTTATGGAAGTAGACAGCGGCTCTGTGGAAGTAGAGGTATCTATTACAGTAGACAGAGGACTTATGGAAGTAGACAGCAGCCCTATGGAAGTAGAGGTATCTATTACAGTAGACAGAGGACTTATGGAAGTAGACAGGGGCCCTGTGGAAGTAGAGGTATCTATTACAGTAGACAGAGGACTTATGGAAGTAGACAGCGGCCCTTTGGAAGTAGAGGTATCTATTACAGTAGACAGAGGACTTATGGAAGTAGACAGCGGCCCTATGGAAGTAGAGGTATCTATTACAGTAGACAAGAGGACTTATGGAAGTAGACAGCGGCCCTGTGGAAGTAGAGGTATCTATTACAGTAGACAGAAAACTTATGGAAGTAGACAGCGGCCCTATGGAAGTAGAGGTATCTATTACAGTAGACAGGACTTATGGAAGTAGACAGCTGCCCTATGGAAGTAGAGGTATCTATTACAGTAGACAGATCACCTATGGAAGTAGACAGCGGCTCTGTGGAAGTAAACTGAGTTACCTATGGAGGTAGACTGGAGCATCCTTGGAAGTAGAGACTGGCTCCTAATGGAAGTCAACCACGGCACCTATGAAAGGGAGGTCTCTGTAGGCAATCTTCTTCTTCTTCTTCGCGTTCATCAGCTGTACACTCTGGCAGAAAGTTCTGGTTGCTCGTCCACTACTGAACTGCAGTCCTGCTCCAGAACCTGAGTGCTGCGTGTGCATCAGTTTTACAGATCTCATTCTCTTGAATACAGACTGTTGGTTCCTTACCTCTCCGGCAGATGCACTCCGACTTCAAAGGAAGCTCCCCAATTAGTCGACTCTTACGAAATGCTTTTGGGGAGGCAGTGGGTCTATTCTTGTTTTCCCCACAATGGGGCCCCGGAACCCACACGGGGGTCTGAAATTGCTCTTTAACAAACCGAACCAATATTTTATTTTTCCAATATTTGCATTAAATAAAACATATATAAACAACAAAACAAATAGATATCCTGATCTATAACTCAGACCTGATTAGCATCAACAAGTAGAATGGCACCATTGCAAGCCTTGAGAGATCTTGACACTTCATAGTGAAAATCAACATGGCCCTAGGTAGGGGAAAAACCATCAACAAATTTAGTAAATTGTCTTTTTTCAAATGGTCAAAAGTCAAGCTAGAAACTGTTATTCAACAAGTATTTTACAATCAATACTTTTTTTTTTCAATGTGTTGAGTCAAGTCAAGAATTGAGATCACAGCATTCAGGGCACTCTCATATGTGTGCCGTCTCCATTTTCAACAGCAAGCAGAGTTCAAATACTAATGATACTGGTCGCAGTCTGGTTATATGTCTGTCTTGCCTTTCCTCTGAGTGTAGTGAGCCAGCCAGATCCTCTGCTCACACCCAGGCGCATCAGTCTCTTCAGGTCATAATAATCTAGTTTCTCTTCTGACTTCGTTACTTGTTCTCCCAATTTTTTTTTAATGAATCAGTTATTAACAGTTTTTAAACATTCCTTTCTTATTCCTCTCCTTCTGCAGTCTTATCAGCCATTGAGGTTCATTGCTGCAGATTTGCCAACCTCTGTTCATCTCTGTAACTGGCCTTCTCCTTCCAGTTGGTGACTCCAAGTGTTCGCGGGTCTGCTTGCATATTATCTCTTCACAGTCTAAAAACTTTAAAAAACACCATCATTGTGTTTTGTTTTGTTTACAAACCAGTTTCATATTTTACAAATTTTTAGTGACCTTAATCTTTTTTTTTCTCCAATAAACGTGTTCAATATTATGCAATTTTTTTTTCAGCAATTTTAAGATTTTGCACACCGCAACAAGGTACTAGATTTCATATTCTCATACTATAATAATCAGCCATCTCCCTGTGTGGAACCTACTCATTCATTCATTCATTCATTCATTCAGTAGCATGTCCCTCGCAGAACCTCGCTGCCATAACAACCCTCCGGAAAACCTTCCTATCCTGAGCAAGATGTCCTGCGTCTGATACACCCATCTGGAGATCATCTGCCACATCCTGCACCCATCTTCTCCTTGGCCTTCCTCTTCCTCTCTTCCCAGGCATATACCCCTCCATTATTGTTCTCTCTAGACTTCCATGACGTTTCAAGTGACCAAAATATTTCAATTTTCTTTGTTTTATTGTCTTTACTAGCCAACCCTCTTCAATATTCAGCTCTTGAAGTATGGATGCATTTGTTCTTTTCTTTACCCAAGATATTCTTAGAACCTGTCTGTAACATTTATATTCAAATGCATTTATGCGCTGTTCCGCTTGTTTAGTAAGTGTCCACTTCTCACAGGCGTATGTTGCAATGGGAAAGATGCATGCTCTTAAAAATCTAACCTTTGTAATTCTATGTGGAACCTACTACTCCCCCAAAAAACATGTTGTAAACGGTGACTAATTTGGGGTTTCTGTAGTCGAAAGTGTTTGGCCGAAACAGGCAGATACAGCAGCCTAGCTTTAAAACACAACCCAACATGCCAACAGCCCTTTTAAGGAAAACATAGAAAAAGATAAGACAGAGATTAATAATAAGATTAAGACCTGACGTAAACAGCAGGTAATAAGCAATTCGATAAAAAGACAGCATCAGTTGGCTGAGAACCTATTCTTTAATACAGAAAAAGAATAGAAGAAGGTTGAATTCATCTTCGCGTTCACCAGCTGTAAACTCTGGTAGAACCTATTCTTTAATACAGAAAAAGAATAGAAGAAGGTTGAATACTTCATCTTCGCGTTCACCAGCTGTAAACTCTGGCAGAAGGTTCTGGTTGTTCATCCACCTTTGGACTTTAGTTTTGTTCCAGAATTTGAGTTTAATGTGCAGATCTGTTTAACAGATATGGCTAATCTGTATGACGACTGTTGGTTCCTCACCTCTCCGGTAGATGCACTCTGACTTCGAAAGTAACACCCCTAACTAGTTGACTCTTATGGCATGCTTGTTAGGGGGCAGTGTGTCTATTCTTTTCCTCCCCCCCCCCCCCCCCTCATAATAGCACCCTGGAACCCACTGGGAAAGAAGAAGACAACAATACAGAATAAACATAGGGAATATATAAATTTCTACTAAAAATGACATACCGGGGTATCAATTAGGTTCAGCAGATATCTCCGTCCCTTATAAGTATGCACCAAACTTGCAGTCTGTGCTTTCACGGTTATCCCCCTTTCTCGCTCTACCTGAAGCCTGTCCAGCACCTGCTGGTTGTTGCCCTTGGCAATTGTTCCTGACGAAACAAATGCGAGTTCCTGGGGGTTATCTTCACGGCAGCAGAATGAAATTATCCAAGAACAAAAATATTCATCATCCCTTGGTGCTATTATTTGTACACAGGGATCTTTCTCGCTCTACCTGAAGTATGTCCAGCACCTGCTGGTTATTGCCCTTGGGAATTGTTCCTGACGAAACAAATGCGAGTTCCTGGGGGTTATCTTCACGGCAGCAGAATGAAATTATCCAAGAACAAAAATATTTATCATCCCTTGGTGCTATTATATATTACACAGGGATCTTTCTCGCTCTACCTGAAGTGTGTCCAGCATACCACCAGTTAAGACCCGGATCAAGAGCATATCACAGATTTTCTGTCCAGGATATTCAGGTGTGCGAGGTAATGAGCAAGCTGATAGATTAGCTACTGCCACTCCTCTGGGCAGTGAGCTAGTATATGATAAAGCGGATGTGATGAAGGCTCTCTGGGATCGAATGAATAGTGCAATAGAACAGATAGGGAATCTGTACCCTGAAAGACTAATTCGACAGTGGGTGAGTAGAGGTTCTGGAAAATATTCAAAACTGAAGGGGAAACAGCGGCTGACTTTTAATCAGGTTGCAACTGAAAAAGGGGACGGAGAACGTGTGATAATGTCCAAAGTGATGTGATGCCAAGCCTAGATTCATTAATTCTGTTCAGCACCTACTGGTCGTTGCCTTTAGTAACTGTTCCTAACAAAACCAATATGTGTGCCCCTGGCATTATATTCAAATAAGCATTAGAATAGTCGGCTCTGTGGCTAAGTCGATGCGAACGCTTCATAATGCTGGGATGCCGGGTTCGATCCCAGCTGCGGGCCATGCGCCTTGCGTTGGTTTCGACAGTGGTATCAAGAAAGCCGACCATCCAGAAAGCAATGGCAAACTACTGGACGTAAAATTGCCTAGAAAGACCACACAACAGCCAGGGGCTGTTAGGGTTGGTTCTGCAACGTCCTGTAAAGGATACGCAACTAACCAAGCATTAGAATAAACTTATCCAAGAACAAAAATATTCATCATCATCATCCTTTTGTGCTGTTTTATACAGTGGAAACCTCAGGATATGAGTGTACCTGGATATAAGATTTTTAGGATACGAGGTAAGGCTCACTTATTTTTTTCCCACAGAATACGAGATGAAATGCCGGGTGTGAGTTGGAGAGACGAGAACTCTTTGCATTAACTAACAGCATGTTAGTAATGAATCAATTGATCGGGCAAGGTTAACATTGCCAAAAAAAGGACTTGAGCCAGTCCACAAGGTATTTGATCACACATTTTCCTCATTGCCAAAATAAAAAATGTCATTTTGAAACCAATAAATTGATTTTTTAAGTGCTGGAAAGTAAATTAATTTTAATGGGAACAACAGTTTCAGAATTCAAGTTATTCATCATGCGCGCTCAGTCAATATTGTGCCGTAATGATGGCACTTTTTCTTCGCTGCTCTCTGATTCCGATGATGAGGACGTTGGACAGACAAACAGCTTTTTCTTGGCCAAGCCGGTTTAAGCTGTCGATGTTGATGGCCTAGTCAAATCTTCTTGTTCACTCTCAGAAGTACACATTTCAAAGACATCTTCGTTATCGCTCCTTGACAGAAACTCCATTAATTCTTCATAAACTTTAACAAGTTTTCTTGCCATTTTGTATTAACGAAATACAGAATAATCCAAAACCACAAATATATATCAGGGCACAACAAATCACCGACCACGCTGCCACGGTAAACAAAGCAACACTATAACGCAGGAATGCAGTAACAACACCTTAAACATGCCTAAATGAACGAGACAGTGTTTTTAATCGTATGTAAATGGGTCAGTTAGATTAAATTTGCTAATGTATATTGCCCTTTGACCCCCAAGAAAGCAGTGAATAGAAACATGTAAGGAAAGTCAAAAAACGTGTTTTTACATTCACATCACTCGGGGTCAGGAAAAAGATTACACCTAAAGACGTGTGTAGCAGAGTACGGGAAAATGGCAAAATACGTCCATAGCAGCGAAAGGGTTAGCAGTGCTTGGGATTTTTCTTGCAGTCCTTTTTTTAAATCACATATTATTATGTTGGGTTTGGGGAGGGGGGGGGGGGGGGATGCCACCTGAAATAAGTTGGAAACCACTCATATAGGAATATTGATAACATCTGACAGAATGGGACAGGCCAAAACTGCATTTTATAAAATAAAGAACATTTTATAAAATAAATCTATGTCAGTGGACGTTAGGGAAAGAATTATCACATGCTATATGAAGCCGTTTTTAACATATGGCTGTGAATCCTGGACACATCAAACAAATTTATTGGGGTCTCGGAGATGTGGTTTTACAGAAGAATCCTTAGAATTCCTTGGAAAGCCAAGAAGAGCAACCCAGATGTTTTGAAAGAAGTGAGGGCTTGAAGACAACTTATCAAAAACATCACACAGTCATCATTTTTGGTCACATTATGAGAAGATCTGTGGAATAAGAGACAGATGAAGACAACTTATCAAAAACATCACACAGTCATAATTTTTGGTCACATTATGAGAAGATCAAGTAATAAGAGACAGACGAAGACAACGCAAGATATTTCTTGGCAACCTTTTATCACGGCATGGAGAGGTGTCAGTGCATGAACTAATACCTGCTGTTGAAGATCACATTTTGTAGAGAGGCAAGATGGCCCACGCCAGTCAGAAAGGAACCCGATGATAGCGATGATGCTTCACTATCATGACAAAGGTCATTTACTTATTTAAATTATAACAAAGCATCAAATTAAGGTAGGAAATAAAACAAAGAATACAAGATTAGTTTATGTTCACCTGTAATTTCTAAAAACCTGTCTGCCAGTGTGCTCTTGCCATGATCAATGTGAGCGATGATGCAGAAGTTGCGAATGTTTTCTACGGGAAACTCACTGATGTCAAAAGGAAGTTGCTGATGTTGTTGCTTAAGGAACAAACAAAACAAAAACAATAAACACAGAATCAATATACAGATGATTGTTAACATACCGATTCCTACGCTTCCCTGCAGATGCTGATACCTTTACATGACTAGTATAATAACACTATCGTCTGGAAAGACAGAAAGATGCCGACTTACTAAATGGAACCCCCAAAAAAATGGGGTGGGTGGGGGTGGGGTGGAAAGACAGAAAGATGATATTATAATGAATGAGGGAAAAAAACATAACGTTTAATAAATGTAGAAAATAACCTGAATAAAACAATAAAATTCCAATATCAGCACTGTTACCTTTGTCTTGTCCCTCATATCCTCTAATTTTAAAAACCCAGGCCCTGGAGAGATGCATTTTCCGAATACAGCATTTTTATTTTATTCTTGGTACAAAGTATGTGTATCCCTTAGATTGTAATGTTTTCAGCATTTGCAGGAGTTTTATAGTTAGGTAGACTAACTAATTGGTTGGCCTGGCACTGTACTATCATGCTCTCTGGATCTACAAGGCGTCAAAAAAAAATCTCCAATTGCAGTGGGCGGACTGGTTCAACTAACCCCACATCCATGTCGTGGGAAGTGGCAAAGGGGACAAAGTTATGGATTGTGGATTTGGACAAAGTATGGTGTAGCCTTGGGACTGCCTCCATCTTCATCACCAAAACTGCCATAGCACAGGGGTGGCCAAAGTTTAAGCAGTGGTCTATACTAGTCGACCGACAAGCCATGAAAGCTTTGATGCCCGGGTGGCCAACAGGCAACTCAGTCGCGGGTCGGAGAGTGTTTGAGTAATCGCACCAACACTGCAATAGTCCTTTTCAGGTGATGAGCAGTTTTTAGCCATGAATAAAGAGTAAATAAACAGACTACAATATAACCAAAAGGGAATGGGGAATGCTTGCTGAATGTGGTCTGCATTTTTTTTTTTCATCAATCATCAATGACCTTGAAAGCCATCAAAGGTAACCCACTGTGGTCTGTCATTTAGTCTGTGTCGAAAACTGTTATTTTTGCCTTATCGCCTAAAGAGTAGGGTTGAATCAAATAAGTTAACTCAGGGGCCAAAATGGTGAAAATGGGGGTCGTCAAAGGACAGAGGCCCAAGCTCCAGCAAAGAAAGATCATTATTACAGTACAACTGGCAATGATCTGCAGACCACTTGCTATACATTTGTGGACCGGTTGAATAGTCCTGCTATAGAGTCTATAGTGTTTATAGCTTATAAAACAAACCGTCTGTGATATTTTTTTAATGCAAAATAGCTCTCAATCTAAAAAAGACTGGCCACAACTGTTTTAGTACACATTGATTTTATTTGTGGTAGAGCAGGGGCTAGACCTTAGCCTGAAGGACTGAATATCTTGGGTTCAAAACCATATCAATGCAGATTTTTTTAATTGATCTGTACTCCCAGACTGACCCGGCCTAAAATGTGTACAGGGAAATGCCCTGGAATGAAACTAAAGGTAGCCAGTGCTGACCACAACAACCATCAAGTGCCAGTTGCCCTGTGAAAATATAAGTATAGCACAAAATGCTGGATGTGTCAATGACCTGAGAGTGGTACTTTTTTCACTCACAGGGGTATAGCTGGATCATGCATGCTAGGGCTTTTCAACTATGAGTTGAGTTGATTCAAGAATCAACATCACAGCACTCGGGGCATTCCCATAAGCACTCCATCCCCGTCTTCAGCAGCCAGTGGAAGAGTTCCAATACTAATGGTGTCAGTAGCATTCTGATTAAACTTCTGCTTGCCTTTCCTCTGAGACTCGAGCATCTGCCAGAAACTCTTGTCACTCCCCGCTGCATCAATCCCAATAGACTGGTGATCCATCTGCCCTCTGAGCTGTACACGCTCTCCTACAAGGCACTATCATGCATCAGTATTCCACCAAGTTGTGCAGAGCCAGCTATATTTACTCAGGCGCAAAAATTCTGAATATGGGAATCGTCACAGGCCAGAGCCTCAGCACTGAAAGATACATAACACAATATTTATTCAACTGGGGTTAACTAATTCAAATACTTTGGAGCTGTATCAGACCAAAACAGAGGCATTAAGACGGAGCTGGCTACAGGAAAACCAGCTGCTGGGAGACTCTATCAGGCCATAAACCGAGGGTTTCTTAGCAAAAGAGAAATTGGCAAAAGGATGAAAATAGCTGTATACCGCTCTACATAAGTGCCAGTCCTGACCTATGGGTGTATGTCATGGGCAATGATAACAGCTCACAGAAGCCAGCTTCAGGCCTTAGAAATTAGATATCTGAGAAAGGTGGTCCAAGTGACAAAGTCTGCAATCAAGCAATAAAAATCAGCCACCATGGCAGGCATGTAAGGCTAAGAACCAGAGAACCAGACCTCCAGCGCGACCCAGGGTCTGCTGGGAAGACAACATCCGACAGTCCCTAACTGACAGAGGACTGGAATCAAACAAAGCCAGAAAGAAAACTGTTAATAGAGACATCTGTAGATCTCTCTGGCAAACCTCTATACCTCAAGGTAGAAGAGGAGCGAGGAAGTGAGCAAGTAAATTCATACAACTGGTAATGATTCGCTGGCCACTTGCGAGGCCTCCATGGACCATATCTGGCCTGTGGGCCACCAGCTGAATAGCCCTGATGTAAGCCTTTAGTTAGTGTGGATTATTGAGTGCCAGAGCGTGTGCCACACCCCACACGGTTCTGTGCAAATATGGGGCTCCATTCACTCTGAGATCCTCTGAAAACCTTGGTTCAGGTCCTCCAATGGATTATGGCCTACATGAGAAACAATATACACTTTAATTGTTCTAGTTCATTGGATATGGCTGTGTGAGTCTCGGACAACTGGCAAACGTTAACTGTTTTGTTTCACTGGATATGGCTTGAGTCCTGGCAAAATGGGAAACTTTAAATGTTCGATTTTATTGGATATGGCAGTGAGTCCTGGAAAATTGGTAAACTTTAACTGTTCGATTTCACTGGATATGACAGTGAGTCCTGGAAAATTGGTAAACTTTAATGTTTCTATTTCACTGGATATGGCAGTGAGTCCCAGACAATTAGTAAATTTGATCTGTTCTAGTTCTCTGGATTCGGCTGTAAGTTCTGAACAATTAGTAAACCTTAACTGTTCTGTATCACTGGACATGACTTGCAGTCCTGGGCAATTAGTAAACAAACCAACAAATTTCTTGGGGTCTCAAAAATATGATAGAAGATCTCTTAAAGTTTCTTGGACAGCCCAAATTAATAATCCAGGTGTGTTGGAAAAAGTGAAGACCCAAAGACATTTTATCACAAACATCATAAAATTACAACAATCACTTTTTTTCTCCCTTTTTGGGCACAAGAAAGAAACTAACATATTGTGACAACTACAAATATTTATGGACAGAGAGGTAGAGGAAGACAAAGAAGACTTCTGACAGCCTTTTGTCATGGCATGGAAGGGTGTCAGCACAGGAACTGATACATGCCATTGGAGACCATAAGTTGTGGACAGGCATGAACCCCTTGCCTGTTGGCAAGGCACTTGATGACGATGATAATGATGATTTAACTGCAGACACAAGTGTTGAAACCTCACCTGAAACTTACAGGATCCTGAAATACTACGGAAGCCAGAATAAGAAAGTTCTGGACCTCTCTGGCAATCAAGTTGGTATCTGACAAAGTATGGTTTTGTCAGCAGCCGAAGCTGTCTTTGCCATCTATGCTGCAGCAGTCGCTGCCAGAACTGTGATACCATTGTTCTTCCTTAAAGAAGCTGTGAATAAATGACAGCTAAATGCATTCACTAAACATAAATTAAGGAACTAATTGTCAATTTAAAAGATCTTTAGACCTTTCAATGAATTAATTGCATGTGGTTGACCTTTCATTAGATGGTTTGGTTATCTAATGAGAAAATGAAACCAACGATGCCAGCAGCAGCAAGAAACCAACGATGCCAGCAGCAGCAAGAAACCAATGATGCCAGCAGCAGCAAGAAACCAACGATGCCAGCAGCAGCAAGAAACCAACGATGCCAGCAGCAGCAAGAAACCAACGATGCCAGCAGCAGCAAGAAACCAATGATGCCAGCAGCAGCAAGAAACCAACGATGCCAGCAGCAGCAAGAAACCAACGATGCCAGAAGCAAGAAACCAATGATGCCAGCAGCAGCAAGAAACCAACGATGCCAGCAGCAGCAAGAAACCAACGATGCCAGCAGCAGCAAGAAACCAACGATGCCAGCAGCAGCAAGAAACCAACGATGCCAGCAGCAGCAAGAAACCAACGATGCCAGCAGCAGCAAGAAACCAACGATGCCAGCAGCAAGAAACCAACAATGCCAGCAGCAAGAAACCAATGATGCCAGCAGCAAAAAACCAACGATGCCAGCAGCAGCAAGAAACCAACGATGCCAGCAGCAGCAAGAAACCAACGATGCCAGCAGCAAGAAACCAACGATGCCAGCAGCAGCAAGAAACCAACGATGCCAGCAGCAGCAAGAAACCAATGATGCCAGCAGCAAGAAACCAACGATGCCAGCAGCAGCAAGAAACCAACGATGCCAGCAGCAGCAAGAAACCAACGATGCCAGCAGCCGCAAGAAACCAACGATGCCAGCAGCAAGAAACCAATGATGCCAGCAGCAAGAAACCAACGATGGCAGCAGCAAGAAACCAATGATGCCAGCAGCAAGAAACCAACGATGCCAGCAGCAGCAAGAAACCAATGATGCCAGCAGCAAGAAACCAATGATGCCAGCAGCAAAGAAACCAACAATGCCAGCAGCAAGAAACCAATGATGCCAGCAGCAAGAGCATACAAGCTGAAAACCCAAACATCAAGAAGCAGGGGAAGGCCCAGAAGAAAATGGCTTGAAGGAGTCACTGACACCTTGAGACTGCATAACATCGAGGCATATCAAGCGTGCCCTGGTTTGGCCGTCAATCGTTTGATGAACCTATTCTTTAATACAGAAAAAGAATAGAAGAAGGTTGAATTGATGATTGAATTAATGATCTTTCTTTACCGGGGCTAAGGCCTCTGGCCCATGATGATTCACACTTTCAGAAGTTTGGCCCCTGAGTTAACGTATTTAAATAGACCTGTTATAATATATGAAAACGTAAAAATATTTAAATTTTATACTATTACTAATGATATACTGAAGTTGGGATCCCAGCGCTTATATGGTTCTGCCTGATGTGTGATGGACTGGATCAGTAGATTAACTAAATTACATCTCCAATGATCCCAACTTTCTTTAAAAAAGATGAAGAATGTAAAACTTTCTTCTTCTTGCGTTCACTGGCTGCAGACTCTGGCGGAAAGTTCTAGTTGTTCGCTCACTTATGGACTGCAGTCTGGTTTCATAACCTGCGTGTTGCGTGTGCATCCGTTTGACAGATATGACTTATTTGTGTGCATGTGCAGACTGTTAGTTCCTTGCCTCTCAGGCAGATAAACTTCGACTTTGAAGGAAGTTCTCAATTAGTCGACTCTTACGACATGATCTTAGGTAGGCAGTGGGTCTATTCTTGTTTTCCCTACAATAGGGCCCCGGAACCCACACAGGGGAGGGGGGGGGGGGTAATTTATTTTAAAACTTACTAACTTTCAAATGTCCATGACTCCATGACTCCGAATGATGGCATGTATTGTATTGCTATACTATAATAATATCATGGTCATGAATCCTCGTTAAGAACCATATCGCATCCATCCACTTTCTACCAGTTAGTTATCATATGTCCTAAATTTTATTACAAAGACGAAGAAGAAGGTTGCAAAACTTCATATAACTTTCCAACGCGAACACAAGAAACCCACAACATACCAGAACCAGACGAATGAGCAAAAGTGCGAGTTGCTGCTGGTTTGAAACCCTCGTCATCACTTCCGGCGTTAAAATGGAGGAACCCATACAGTACATCCAGTTCTTGCTGTGCCTCTTTCTCTTCAACTGGAATTCGTTTGTTTCGGGAACTGGTAGTGAACTCGAGGATTTTAACGATAAAGCAGAGTTTAAAATCGAAGGAAAGGTTTATTTTGCTTCAAAGGACAAAGAATGGACAATGAATACCAGAGTCCTTGTGGATGGAGGCAATTACCTTGGTTTTGTTAGGTGGGTCGACGGTCTGATCAGTTGATTAGAGTTATTGACAGTTAAGTTACTGAACTTAAGTCTTAACTATCTGACCTTGACTTCCAGGGCGACCTCACCCAGCCTACAATGGGTACATAGTAATGTCATGGAAAAGGGAGGCGGCCGGCGTGATGTTGTCCACATCACCCACCGAGCGACGCTTACTACTTAGCCTCTATCTAATAAAAAGCAAAAGAAGTCGCATCATCGTATGAAATGGCGCCCGAGCCCAGTTTGCCACAGGCTTACGTTTGAGAAAATTAAGAAATTTTAAGGTTAACAATTTTAATAATATTACACTGCATGAATTTTTCAGCGTAGTTTACAACACGTTTTTTAATTATAAAATAACTGACAATATTACTAGCATATCCTTGCACTTTAACCCAAGAAGAGCCAGGTGACTCACTCAGTGAGCAAATCTGAAAATGTTTTGAAATACCCAGCATTACAAGTCTATGGTTAAGCACCAGCAAGGAAATCAAAGTTAATATTTTGAGAGCATGCATCTTTCCTGTAGCAACATATGGATGTGAGTCACGAACTATCCCAGTCCTTGAGGAAGAAAATAGGAGTTTTTTAGCTGAAATAAGTTATAGAAAGATTTCAGAATGCCATGGACAAAGAAGAGAAGAAATACTGACATTTTAAATGGTCTGGACATCAAGGAAAATTGGCTAATAAACAGCATCTTGGGCTATCCTCCGAATAACGGTCGTAAATTATCGAGGCGGAAAATACGCCTTAACAGGGCCTCAGTCATGGGTCAATTGCGCACTTCCGTCTTCTTAAAATACTCGCTTACGGCAACTTCCGCCACCGCTGAATTGAAAACTTTCTGCAACTTCCGCCACCGCCGAGAGTGTCCCCCCCCCCCCCCACGCCGCTCAAGCAGAGTGGATTGGGGCTAAACTAGATGGCTAGGACTCACGAGCAGCAGCTACCGCATCTCCTGCAGCTTCCTTCATTTTATTTGCTCATGAGTCCTAGCCATCTAGTTCACGCTCACGCGGCGTGGGGACACTCTCGGGGGTGGCGGAAGTTGCCGGAAGTTCGCAATTCAGCGGTGGATGAGGCCCTGTTAGGGTATATTTTCCGCCTCGATAATTTACGACCCTTATTCGGAGGATAGCAGCATCTTGTCTTGGAAGCTGAAATACTTTGAACATATCAGCGACATGGCGGTTATAGCAAAAATAATAGCAGAAGGCGTGATACCAGGAAGGAAGGCAGGGACTGACCAACGCGAAGATGGGCACATGATATAAGTAACTCCTTGAAAAGAAAGCTTACGATGCAGGAGAGCTATTGAGAGACAAGAGTTTCTTTCAGGCAGACTGTGATGAGAGCAACGTTCTGCAAATGACCTGCTACATGATAATGATTTGAAATACCATGGGAAAGAGAGAATTAATAAAGATTTAGATGATGGAAAGAACCTGTTGGAAGTCCACAATATGGCAAATGATAGAGCTGTGGCTTATCACCAAATGGTTGAGAACCCATACTACACTTTGAAATCAACTGACTTGCTGCTGCATCAGAAAAGGGTAGAGCACGAATGGGTCAGACCGACGTGTTAGGGCTTCGATGTGAATAACAAGTAGCAAGAGGCTGTAACTTTTATATATTTTTTAAATGTAAGTATTATTTACTTTTGTTTTATATTGCTATTAGATTATCATTTACACAGTTTTTTTTTTTTAATCTACTTTTCAGACCTGATGGTTCATTTGTTGTACATGGCATTCCAGCTGGATCTTACACTGTTGAAATAGCAAATCCAAATGCATTGTTTGAAACAGTCAGAGTTGAAATCACATCCAAGGGGAAGATACGTGCAAGGAGAGTTAATGTTCTGCAACCAAACCTTGTGAAGACTGTGGCCTACCCTCTAGAATTTAGAGAACGTGGAAGACCCAACTATTTTCACAAGCGTGAGCAATGGAGACTAACAGATTTCCTTTTTAACCCCATGGTAAGTGTTTCTCTTCTCCTTTTTCATCCAAGTTCCATTCCAAATAACAGGTCGTAAGTCAAATTTTTTTTTCAGCACTTTTTTCATTCAGTAGACTCCTACAAAACAGCTTGATGATCTGGACCGCTGATATTTCTCTTCTGTCCCAATCAAGGAATCAGATGCAAGATAAATTAAATATGCTTGATCATAACAGAAAAGTCCATAAAAGAAAGACAAAGATAAAAAGAAAAAAATAAGGTGGATAGCAATGTGGTTTCTCTTAATGTGGAGTCGTACACCTATTTGGGCAGTAATGTAGATAAAGATGGGGGGAACTGATATAGAGATATTAAAATACAAAAGGCAGGAGGAGCTTATGAAGCACTAGAGTTTGTGAAGGTCAAAAGAAATACTAAACTTAAATTTTTAATTCTAATGTCAGATCAGTACTGTTGAATGGAGCGGAAACATGGAGAACAACTAATGCAGTTAGTAATAAACTACAAACATTCATTTACTGGTGGCTACGCAGAATAGAAGAAATTAAACGCTATGATAAAATCACTAATGTAGAGCTTTGGCAGAGAACTAAGCAAGTTCCAGTGGACCAGGAGGTGAAGAAAAGACGCTGGCATTAGATAGGACACACATTGAGAAAACTGGAGAACAATATATATGTATTAACTCTATCACATCAGTTCAGCAAAGTTTTTTACTCTACCAGTGTAATCTTTCTTTATTTACTATTTTTATTTATGTATTTGTATTAAGTGCGTATGGGTATAAGGAGAAGATGTATATACATGAAATTTATGTCACATTGGGCTACATTCCTTTCTATCCTGTTTAATCATGTTTATTATTGAGGATGCATTCTACTCTGACCTTGTGACCACTTCCATCAGTGTTTTTCTTGGATTTCTCAGTGTGTTTCTCATTTCACTACCTATTATATTCCCCATGTGGGTTCCGGGGCCCTATTATAGGGTGGGGAAAAGAATAGACCCACTGCCCAACCTAAAGCCAGATGTAAGAGTCGACTAATTGGGAGCTTCCTTCGAAGTCGGAGTGCATCTGCCTGAGAGGCAAAGAACCAGCAGTCTGCATTCAAATGAATCAGATCTGTAAAATGGATGCACATGCAACACTCAGGTTCTGGAACAGTCCAAAAGTGGATGAACAACCAGAACTTTCCGCTAGAGTTTACAGCTGATGAACACGAAGAAGAAGAAGACTACCTATTATTTAACCACATGAAAGAGTTTAAAATTGTAGAGGAAGTTCTGAAAAATGATACCATTTTTACAAGGCTGGAATGTGTTTAGTTAGATCGTTGGTAAGTGGGTACATCTTAAAGAACAGCTTTTAGTAAAATATGTAGCTAGACCTATATTTCATTGACAAGTCAGCATACTGTGGGTGATGCTAACATCACACTGGCCACCTTTACTTCCCAAGACTACCTGGTACCAATTTAAGGCCAGGTCAGCCTATGAGCCAAGGTCATTTCTGATAAAAAAATTTGGCTCTGTCATGGCCCAAACGCACGACCTTCGGATCCACAGGTAAGCGTCTAGCTGCTACACTATGGCGGCTCCCCGACTTACAATTAGTTTGCATTATATTTTATTATTGTTGTTAAGTTTGCTTTCTGCTTTATAATTTACAAATATTTGTGATTGCAGGTATTAACTATGATTGTGCCTCTTCTGTTAATAATGGTTTTGCCGAAGTTAATGAATGCAGCAGATGCAGATACACAGAAGGTGAGCTGAAAAACTTTTAATATTCTTGTGTTCGCCAGTTTTCTTTTTTGTTTTTGTTTAATTCACTCTAAACAAGAACAGTATCTTTTTGGCAGTCTGATTCTTCTTCTTTATGTTTACCAGCTGTTGACTTAAGCAGAAAGTCTTGGTTGTTTGTCCACTTCTGGACTTTGTGACCTTGTTCCAGGACTTGAATTTTGCATGCACAACTGTTTTTCAGGTCTGGCTTATTTGTATGCAGACTGTTGGTTCTTTTCCTCTCAAGCAGGTGCATTCTGACTTTGAAGAAAACATTGAACCTATCTGCCTAGGCCAGACCCTCTGTTTCTAGGATGATCATTTTTGTTAGCATTTTACCGGCTGTAAACTCCAGTGGAAAGCTCTGGCTGTTCACCTGCTTCTGGACTTCGACCTTCTTCCTGAACATATTTGCTTGCTTGTCTGTTTTACAGATCCAGTTTTTTTTACATGCAGGCAGTTGGTTCCCTGCCTCTCTGGAAGATGCACTCCAACTTTAAAGAAACACACCTTTTATGACACGTTTGTTGGGTGTCAGTGGGTCTGTTCTTTCCCTGAAATGGTGCTCTTTAACCCATATGGGAAAGTCACTGAAAACAAAATCCCTACTTTGATGGGGTTACTGCCAGTGTGAGTACTGAAGCCCCCCCCCCCCCCCCCCCAATTGTAAAGCCTTCTAATTAGGGGAGTTTTCTTCAAATTCAGAGTGCATCTGCCTGAGATGCAAGGAACTAACAGTTTGCATACAAATAAGTCATATCTGTAAAATGGATATGCACCCAAAACTCACCCCACTGCTCCCAGCTGTCATGTTACAAAAGGCAGCTAATAAGTACTGTCCCTACTGTCTGTATTTACCACTTTTTAGGGTGGTGTAGATAGTGGGGGTGGGGGGGGGGGAGGGGTCGTGTGAGTGAAGATTTAGGGCCTCATGACTAGTGCTACCGCCAGACTTTACAAGCTAGGATGTTTAATTTTACCCTCGACAGAAAAACTCCATCACCTTATTGGGGTCAAACTAGAAGTAAAAGACTTTTTTCCACACCTTTAGTCATATAGAGATAGACCTACATTTCATAGATCAATGGGCACTCTGTGGGTGATGTGGTCAGCATCATGTCGGCCACCTTTACTTTCCAGGACTTTTACAAGGTACCCATTTAAGGCTGGGTCGACCTAGGCGCTAAGGTCATTTCTGGATTGCTAAAATTTGATGTGTTGGACCAAAAGGAGCAGATATCGCAACCTAGCTATAAACTACAACATGACATGCCAATTACTGTCTTAAGGCAGAAGGAGAAAAAAAGGACATGCAACTGACTTGCTATGTTTACTTTTGAACCATTGTTTATTAATTTTTGTATTTGTCACCAGGAGATGCAAAGCCAGATGAATGTCTTAAATAGCAGGCCAAACATGCCGGATGCGGCCGAACTATTTACCAATCTTTTCTCCGGTGGTGCTTCAAAGAAAGCGGCCAAGCCAAAGCCGATTGCCAGTGGTAAACGTGGCAAGTGATGACGACGTGGCTGTGATAAGTTCCAGGTGTTTTTATCAGTGAAGAGAGTGCTTGTAGTGTTTCTAGGATGTGAACATTTAGGGAGATTGCTGCAGCTGTTGCATGTGTGTGTATGTGTATTTTTTTCCTACTTTCCTAATAATATATATTCTCTGCTTTTTTGGATGACATAATGAATGAAAGCACTCATTTTTAGGCTATCGGGTAAACAGGCAATGATTGAAATCTGTTGGGAAATTGTACCTATTTTAATGCAGTTGAAACAAAGAATGCCGCTAAATTAAATTTTCTGTAATTCTCAATATTTTTGCCAGATACTTTTCCCATACACCGTACCGTAATTAGTGGCCCAAATTTTTTTAATTTTTTGGGGGGCTCTGATGTAGATGTGTCCTTACAATGCAGGCTTTGTTAATTTCTTAAAATAGCATTTGGAATAAAAGAGTTAAGAAGGTGTATGCCAAACTGGCCTGTTATAATGTACTGTGCTTGTAAATCTGGCATTTAAGTGTATGTATTAAGGTTACAGCTGAATTTTATATGTTGTGGTTGTATATTTAAATGGATGGTTTGAGAATATCAAAACTGTGTCCTTTCTGTATTTATGTTGATGTAAGTGTTCTTTCACAGATATTCAGGTCAAAGGTTTATTCTTTCTTTATTCTAATAAGCAGTGTGAACGGAGCTTTTTTTTTCTGGCGGCACCTTTTTTAAGGCATCATTTTGTCAGTGTTGTAATAAATACTTTGCAGTGAATATGACACCTTTTTGAAAGAAACTATATGGTGGTACTACCAGTACCTTTGTTTCTAGAAGAAAAAAACACTAAGTATGGTTATGTTTAAGAAGGTTTAGCTAGGCATTTTATCAATGTTTTTTCTTTTCAATATTTTGTGAAACCCAGCCAGTCATGGACAAGTTTAAAAAACAGCTTGGTGTAGGTCAGTGGGGAGCCTATGCTCCAGTTGGAGATTGTCTGCTTTCATCCTTTTAAAGATTCAGTTGTCACATTGTGCTGTGGTTTACATCTAGCTATGCTGCTATATCTGTACTTTTCGGCCCAGTACATCTGATTTCAGTGAAACCCTAATTAGTTACCTTCTATAACATGTTGTTAGGGGGGCAGGGGGAACTATTCTGCCTTCCCTCAAAATGAGAGCCCAGGAACCTACATGGGGACTGCAGTGGAGATGACATGCAGAAGAAAAGCAATGATGGCAGTGTGAGGGGATGGTGTTTATAAGTGCCAGCTGCCATTCATTTTCTGCCATTATATATGGCATCAATTTTATTAGGTTAGGTTGACCATAATTGTTGGGATTTCTGTCCATGATGGGGGTTGGATCTAGGCCTGCATATTGGTGGGCAGGTATAGTAACCATGATAGTATAATCTTCTTCTTTGCCGGCTGTTATCTCCAGCAGGTTCTGGTGTTCTTCCACCTCCGGACTTAAGTCTTGTTCCAGAAGCTGAGTGCTGCATGCACATTCTTTTTCCAGATCAGGCTTATTTGTATGCACACTCCTGGTTCTGTGCCTATCAGGCAGATGTATTGGGACTTTGAAAGAAGCCCCCAGTTAGTTGAATTCTACTTCATGCTTGTAGAGGAGCCATACACTGAAACCCACACAAGGAAACACTGTAATGGATTTGGGCTCCTTTTATTTATTTATGCCTTACTGCCCTCAGATATCTCAAATGCCAGATTGTATGAATCAAAATGTTATTTTGTGCAGCTTAACGTTTTGGAGTAAGTGTGAAATATTGATTTAGCTTTTGTAGATTCCAGAATATGCAACAGAAACTCAGAGGCATATAACCAGGAAGAAAAATAGCCAGATTTTTTAACTCTGATGTAACCAAGTGTGAAAAGTATAACAACACATTGAGCATTGCTCGATACATATGGAGGATAGCTGGTCATACATTAGTGTTACTGGAACTGAAGAACATAATTCAAGGAAGGAAAGAGGTTGGCTGGTGAAGGAATTGGTCACACAACATTCTTTCTAGTCTGAGGTGCTTGATTTTCACAACCCTACAACAGCATCCATTTTTTAGTTAAAAGTATGTTGTTGGGGGCAGTGAGCATTCACAAGAACAACATTGTATAAAGGTGGGGGATCAAGAAATTGTCTGGAAGAAGCTTGTATAAATTCTCTGAAGATGCAGGCTGGGGTGTCTTGGAGACCCGTCAAAACTGGCCCTCGGTGCAGAGGAGGTGGTGGTTGAAAATGAATCAGTAATCATAGCCATATTTTTTCCCCATATTTCTTTATCAATTTTATCTATTTTTCACTGGTCAGCTTTCAGTCCATTAAGTGTGATCAGGCTATTTTTGAAATTTTGCCGTTCTTCTGTACATAAACAACCCTCCCCCCCCCCCCCCATTTTTTTTTTAAATAAAGAAATATCTACACATGTACAGACTTCAGGTTTGCCTATAAAAGCTAAATTATTGAAATAATTATTCCTGAAAGATATAAATTTAAAAACATTTTTACTCTTAAGAATCTTAAACTTGTAAAAAAAAAAATTTCCATTTGTTAATGTGGTTCCACTTTATAATTGGACATTTTTTTTTAGTAACAAATGGTTAAGTGGTTTATTTTGCTTTCTTCTTACTGTATGGTGAAACTTTCTTTATTCAGACAATAAACACTACTCAACCAAGAGTTTTTTTTTTTTCCATTGAAGAATTTAGTCTGAATTTTTTTGTATTACTGGTTTAAAGTACTTTAGACCTTTTAAGTGGACATTGTTTACCTAAGGGTAAGGTAGTTTATTTTGGTTTCTTTTTCACTATATGAGAAATTGTTTTTTTATTCAGACATTAAAACCTGTACTTGGATGACTGGACCAAGAGATTTGTTTTCTTTATTGGTTAATTTGTGTGGATTTGTATCATGGTATAGGGCGTCGCAGGTCAACCCAGCCTAAAATGGGTACCAAGATGACTGTCCTGGGGAATTAAAGATGGCCAGCGTAATGCTGACCACATTACCTACCTAGTGCCGATGGTCTGTACAAATATAGGTACTCTTCCTATATACCTGATACGCCTACTTTTTTTTTACTTACTGGTTAATTGCCTGGGGTTGTCTTGTGACATTTGTGTTTCAAAATTTTCCCTCTCACTCCTTAACTGCTAGCTCTTCAACATTATTTACATTAGATTAACCAATTCTGCCTCTACTATAATTTTGCGCTAATTGATGTTTAGCATATACTGCTTTAAAATGCAACTTGGGATAATTAGTGAGAATAAATTCCACGGCAGAAAAGGGTAACAAGGTGGAGGATCTTGCTGAAACAGTATGTGCTGCGCTAAAAGGCACAGATATCACAGCCTAGCTGTAAAACATCACAAACTTTGAATGTGAACACAGAAGTAGAAGGTGGAGCAGTCCATTTCTTCTGGAATGAACCTTGAAATGATACGACCCTTGGCTTACGACATATTTGCTTTCGCCACGATTCACTCTCTATGATTACTACAACATAACTTGCATTACTCGAACGTCTAGGGTTGATAACACAAACACTACTCGGCTTTCTTATACATACTATCAGTTTATTCAGTTACATTTATTCCACATGCTTCACCAATTATTTACACTTCTATCGTTCGCGACATATTCAAATATTGGTCACACGCACGACATAGGGACTACATTTTCTACTAATACAACCGTCTTCTACGACTTCTGATGATCAACTGACCACGAGTCTAGCTCGGGCTTCCCCTCTTACTCGACCAGCCACAAGTACCTCGTTCTGTCACTTGTAGCACAGACTTCCTGCTTGCCACAATGTATTCGTGGAGACCATGCAAAGCACATCATCACATCTTCCTCACTCTGATAAAGTAAATGTATTGCGTTTCCTGTGATATCAATGGAGCAACCAACACCAGGAAAGGTAAGATAGACATACTACAATCAGACCATCGGAACTCTGCATTGGCTGCTGAATATGTGGACGGAGTGTTTGTGAGAATGTCCTGAGTGCTATGATGTCAGTTCACAACTTAACTCAACTGATGAACGAATGCCAATATTTCAGACTTAAGCTAAGTAACAATACGAAGAAATTAATCCTCCGAACTGTGGCTAAAAAGCTTTATGTTGAGAAACAATGTGTACACATAAGAAAAACCGAACGTTTTGGTCGGAGCCTTTCTTGACACAAACCACAAAAACAGCAACAAGGGGCAGATTATCCTGGCCACACAAGTCCCCACTCGATGTTTGTGGGCGGCCTGAATAAATAACTAAAAATATAGATTAATTTCTTGCTATTAAGGACAGCTGGCCAAACGGTTCAGAACGTGTGGCTCTTGTGCAGGAGACCCAAGTTCGAATCCTCGGTAAGGTTGGGGTATTTTTTCTGTTGAGGGCAGAGATAAAATCCTACCCTGCAAAGTCATGGTGACAGCACTAGCCGTGTCGGCCTTAAATCCCCAGGTGTAAAGACCCACTTGCCTACACCTCAGAAGTGGTTAATACAGGTAGCCGATAAATGACCGCCTTAATTGTCACTTATGTGGTGTAGGCAGGGGGTCTTTGAGCCTGGTGCTGTCGGAGCGACTATGCAGGTCAAGATTTTATTTTGCCCGGGACAGAAAAAATCCCCAGCTTTACCGAGGATTCGAACCCGGGTCTCTCGCTTGAGAGTCCAGCGATCCAGCCGCCAAAATAGGTAGCAATGGCAGAAAATGTCTTGCTATTAGCTCCCTGTTTTTAGCATTTTGCGTTAACAAACAATATGAACATGAAGCAACTCAGAAAGTCATTCTAATGCAAGTGTTTAATAAAGGCAGTTTCCCCCTAGCAGATACTGCCATCAGGGTGTGAAATGTTGGGCTCAGACATCAATCAGGTGCCATCTACATAATGAAAGTTGGCTGCAAATGGATCTTCAACACACTCTGCCTCTTGTCTTGGTAGTGCACTCTCAGACTGCTGTTCGTTCACCTCTTGACGTTGTAACAAGCATGTCATAAGAGCCAACTAATTAGGGATGTTTCCTTCAGTGCACCTGCCCTAGAAGCAAGGACCCAACAGTCTGCATATAAATAAAATGTCCACGCATAACTCAAGTTCTGGAACAACACCAAATTCCAGAAGTTCACGAACAACCAGAACCTTCCTCCGGAGTTTACAGCTGGTGAACGCTAAGAACAAGATGCAATGAAGGAAAGTAGACAACCTCAATCAGTTGTACAGACTTACTTATCAGACTAAACTAACATGTGTACACAACAAATCACAATTCTACTTAACAGACAACATTCCAAGAATGGTTACACATGGTAGTCAAGAGTGGCCACTAATTCACAAACGCCAGGTTTAATCTTCTTCGCGCTCACCGGCTGTAAACCCTAGCGGAAAGTTCTGGCTGTTCATCCACCTCTGGACTTTAGTCTTGTTCCAGAGCCTGAATTTTGCTTACACATCCATTTTACAGATCTCACTTATTTATATACAAGGGGGCTGCATGGTCTCGAGGCATAGTGTCCGCCTCGAGTGCTAGAGGTCCCAGGTTCAAGCCCTGGTGAAGGTTGGGATTTTGTTATGTGGACTTCTAGTAATTTCCCCTGGTCTGTGTACTAAGACCGGACGCCCATGTGTTTTGTTGTTTATATAATAAAATCTATTGGCAGTTGGAGTAAAAAAAGAGTAGCCTAACGGCACTGCCCGGGCTAAATTTGTAGTTAAAATCTGCCTAAAGTATTTCAGGATCCTCGTCGGTGCAACAGAGTTCGTGCCAGACTCAGGCTTGAGCCAGAAGAACAGAGCACTTATGGGTTACACCTGTGTGCGATGATGTTTATCCGTTGAATAAATGTAAACAGACTCTTGGTTCCTTGCCTGTCAGGTAGATGCACTTCAGCTTCGAAGGAAGCCCCCACTTGGTCGATCCCTGTGACATGCTTGTTGTGAAGGGAGGCAGTGGGTCTATTCTTGTTTTCCCCACAATGGGACCCTGGAACCCATACAAGGGCCAGGTTTAATAAAATTGCTTAATCAAAAAGCCTAATGTCAACAAACAAGAAAGCTGACTCAGACAATACATACAGATATTGTTGGCACCTTTCCAGTCGACTGTGCTATGAGGAGGCATGGGACTCATGGCAAATATGACTAGCATGACCCGCCTGCGTTGAGAAAAGCCTTCCACAATAATAGCATGGGATTTAAGGACCGTTGTTGCCAACGTTTGTGTTCAGTGTTTCTTCTCAGATGCTCAGCTCTCATCCTTTCTGCAATAATTTCTTCCTTCATTCTCATTCCCTTCCTGATGTGCCCCCTCCACGCAACATGGTCCATGGCATTTTGTTGCCACGAGTCCAACTCAATACCTGAATTACTCATGTCCCACTTGCACACACCTTTATATCATGGTAGAGGTCTGCCTCAACATCTTCTACCCATCTTTAATTTCACCATAGAGAATACCCATTCTTCAGGTGTGATCCAGCCTTCGTAGACTGAGCACTGAGAAATCTTTTGTAATACATGTACATGTTCTGTCTAATATCTCAGTGTTTCTTATCTTGTCTTGCCAAGAAATACACATACACACACATTTATGCACATAAACACTCACATTTAAATACACACACAAATTCATACACAATTACAGTCCCTCTATCTCTGTACACCAAAATAGTCGTCATGACTTCAAATATAAAATACTCTAAGAATGAACATGCTGTAAACCCTATCTCTATCCGGTTAAATACTTTTTTCCAAACAGCTGCACTTTCTTATCAAAGGATGGTGACTTGATTAGTGAGTTGATTTCATAAAATGGATTCATGGCAAACTGAAAGAAAAAAACAATATATTAATTATAATTAAACTGCAAAAAAAAATTGGCATCACATTATTCAAGACAAGCCCATATTAGCTCCACCTCCCTCCTTAACAGCCAGCGGAGACTCCATATGAATGATACCTGTTGTCAACTGCTTAACTACTAGGCTCCGGAATCTACACAGGGATCAGAATGATAAGAGGAGGCACGATCGTGGAAGAAGAGGCACTGGTTGACCAGCATGAAGTTGGACACAGGACATTTAAGACACAATGTGCATCAAAGCTAAGACTGAGACCCTCTCTGGCAGGCTGTGGTGTTTGGTTAAGACATGCTACACTATGATGATGTAGATAAGGAAATGCGTTGTTAAATTATACATAGATGGTTAGTTTTGTAATAAAAGTAAAGGACCCTTTTCCACGCTTTTGGGCATACTGGGTATATAAGGTTAGACCTATATTTTATAGACCAATCTGCACTTTGTGGGTGAAGTAGTCAGCATCATGCCAGCCACCTTTACTTCCCAAGACTTTACTTAGTACCCATTTCAGGATGGGCAGACCTGGGAGCAAAAGTCATTTCTGAAAGAAAAAAGTTTGGCTCCGCCAAGATCTGAACCCACGACCTTCGGAAATGGAGGTGAGCATCTAGCAGCTACAGCACGGCGGCTGCAACACAAAAATGGACACAGGACATTTAAGACACAGTGGGCATCAAAACTAGGAAGAGAATGAGATCTTTTCCAGCAGGCTGTGATGAGAGCGGTGTTCGGTCAAGGACTTGCTACATTATGACAACGTCATCATCATGTAGCAGGTCCTTTGCAGAACGTCGCTCTCATCACAGTCTGCCTGAAAGAAACTCGGTAGAAATGTAGATTAAGATATATGTTTTTAGTATAATAATAGACACAGAAAGAAGATGGTTGGTTAGGTAGAGTGGAATAGAAAACTGTCAGATCCAGATACAGTGCGGGCTGCTCAAAGCGATCGTGGGATGTGATAGCATCAGTGAGTTAGTTAGAAATCAGTAGACCAAGATCTCAAAACTCAGAACAGGACAGGTTGCAGAGCTGTTGAAACAAACATGATAGTCCACCAGAACTTGGGCACAAACTGACCAAGACTTATCTACACATCTTCATGGTCATGTGTCCACAGTTGGTATCAAATCCAGCATCCATGAATTATGAAAGGCGTTGTCAGCGGCTGAGCCACAAACGCCAACATGCTGTGAAGAGGCCCCCCCCCCCCCCCACCCAAAAACGGGCAGCATAAGTGTACTTCTTCTTTACTTCCTCTTTTATCTAAACTGTTATTAGATCACAAAATTTTCCTGCAACCCCGACGTCTTCTTATGGTCCATGCTGTATGGCAATGTGAGTCATTCATGTCTAGCCACAGTATTCTGTTCATGTATTTTCAATCATTTCTGATATATATGATCTTCTGTGCCATGAGGCTAAACCATCCAGCGTCATCTCTCTTGTTCTACCCCTGTGCGTCTTTGCCTATAACATTCTCGTTGTTACAATTTACTCATGTCTTCCCTTTCTCATGATATGACCAAAGAATGTTGCGCAGGAAATCAGTTCTTTCTCTTTGTCAAAATGCCAACAGTATAATAATTCTTTTTTCCTTCAGCAATCTCTGGTCATGTACTTAATCCACCATGTGCCATAAATTAGGATGTCAGCTCGAGGTCTCTCAGATTTCTCCAAAGCTTAATGGGTGACCGATGTTTAAAAACCCACCATGATGGCGCAACGAAGTGCCACAATTTAAACGAGAATCCCTCAGGCGCAAGTCTAGAAATCCTGTTCAACCGTAAGGTTATATTAGGGCCTCTGATGACGGTTATAAAGTAACCTAAATTTCAGCTGAGATAAAGCTTTAATACAAAAAACATTGTGTCCAATTTTAGAAAGAGTAATTATAATTAATGCTTAGTTATCAGTCTACTGGATGTGGCCACATGTTGCTTTGCTGCTCCTCCAAGAGAAGACTCTTGCAAGACATGTTCTGGGATCTGTTCAGCACGAAGACACTGGCAGACAGCTGTCTGGCTCATACCTAATTTTTTATGAGTGTCTGTTGAGTCTGCAATGCCCTGTGCATAACCAACAATGTAATAACAAACTCACCTTCACATAAGTATCATATGTCTCCGTGAAAAAATTCTTGATCCCATCCTCATTCTTGACATCATGCAACATCAGAAAACGCATACCTTTCAAATGGTTAAAGAAACTGGTACGCAGCATGGACCACAGAATAATAGCATCAGCAGGTTAGAAATTAGTAGACAAAGATCTAGAAATCAGTAGACCAAGATTTTGAAACTGGAAATCAGTAGATCAAGATCTTGAAATTAGAACAGGACAGAGATATTATGTAGGGCCCAAACGGGTCATGACCTACCTACACCTCTCTGTGGTCATCCTAGAAACAGGCTGACAACTGGCCAACACAGACAGGATCAATGTTTCCTTCAAAGGCGGAGTACATCTGCCTGAGAGGTGAGGAACCACAGTCTGCACATAAATAAAACAGATGTGCAAACAACTCCTGGAACAATATCAAAGTCCAAAAATGGATGAGCAACCAGAACTTTCCGGTGGAGTTTACAGCCAGTGAATATGAACAAGAAAAGGACACAGCAGGTTCGAAACACATATTCAGCACATGAGTTTCAGAGAATGGCACTTGCAGCTGTGGAGCACCAAAGCAAACCTGCAGTGCAGCCCTTTAAACTAAAAAACAAATTGTGGGCAAAGGTCCCTCTTCTTGGCACTGGTCAATCGGCATATAGTGCTACACCAATTTTTGTTATACACCAGAGCAGAGGCAAGAAACCAACAATCTGCATGTAAATAAGCAAGATCTGTAAAATGGGTGTTGTCAGATACCAGTTCGGCTATGGGATGAGAAAGTATGATGACGTCGAATCTTTGCGTCTGTAGGAAATGACCCAGACATGAACTCAACGTGAGACCATGACAGACCGACAACGCGATAAATCGTGGCGGCTGAGCGGTACACTTGGGAAAATTCATGGGAAGCCCAGAGCAGGAAGTGAAGGTGAAGAGAGACAAAAAGCTCGGAGAGAGATCCAGGGAAATATTTTGCAGGACTCTACAACAGTGACATAACGTAGGAGACTGTTAGAGCGTAGTGTGTTATGAGTCAGTTTATCGACCGTTGGGAGTGTGTTGTTGCTAGCTGTAATTCATTTCGTATGGTGTTTGAAGAAGTTATTCAGACTTGTAGCATTATTGTGTGGGTTAGAATTGTTCATGTAAATTTTGTTGAAGCAGTTTTTTAAGGTTGTAATGGATTGCTTGTGGCATTAACATCTGCCCGCACACATTCAGGATTTCACTCTGTACGCACCACAGAATCCTCGTGTTGAGAGTGGTGTGGGTTTGTGCCCAGTGCTTATCCATGGGAATGGCAAGGTGTGACTACTGATTTGTAAAGCTAGCACGACCAGCATTTAAGATAAGGGGCACCTGCAGCTCTTGAGGCTAACTGCGATAGGCTTAATGCTCTTTGTACATTAAAGATTTTGTGTGTGCTCCACAGGTGTTCGGCTTGGTATTTTTTTTTTTGGTAGATTTATCTGTTACCTGCCTGCAACACAAGCCAGATGTAGTATAGAAGAAAGAAGGTTGTTGACAGGTGTGCACGCAATACTTAAGTTCTGGAACAAGACTTAGGTCCAGAAGTGGACAAACAACCAGAACTTTCTGCAGGGGTTTACAGCTAGTGAATGCAAAGAAAAAGATAACCTGCAATTTCAACTATACCACCCTGGAAAATCTAACTTGATCAGCAAATGTCAGAAGGAAGTAGAATGTGTGGGCCAAAGGTACAAATATCACAGTATTATGGTTACAATAAGTTGCCTGTCCTTTACAGGAGGATGCAGAACCAACCTCAGCATTGTTTGGCTGTTGAGGTTCTTCTAGCTTCTAGGCAAACTTGCATCTAGTAGTTCGCTATTACGTTTTGAATGGTCAGTTCTAGGTACCACTGTCAAAACCAATGCAAAACAGTCTGCTGACAAATCATCTGCTGCTGGGATCGAAGTGGGTACCCTGGCATTACGAAGCGCGTTTGCAACACCTAAACCACAGACGCCGACACAGTACTATACTCAAAACTCATATACATCCAAAACACTTCTTTAAATATCAAATAAAAATGAAAGAAATATAAATGCATAAACACTATATTCAAATGCTTTCACAGGATTTCATGACAAATTTTTAAATTAATAATTATAACTTTTAAAAAAAGGATACGGCCTGCTGTCACAAATGCCGAGACAAACCACTCGTTGAATTTGTCGACTATTTTAAGGTACATATTGTTGGTGGACCACATCTGTTCATCTACAAGGTCAAGGGCAGCATGTGCAATGAACTGGTTCAGGTGTCTATGGTCATCTCTCTAGATAAAACAAAACACACACATACAAACATGATTTAAAAACAAATTCTGTGTAGAATATTATTTTATGAAGCATAGAAAACTAATAGAGGCATTTTTTAAGTACTTTCTGGTCACATCAGTAATTAGTGAGGACTATCTTCATAGAACTCTGGAAAGACTCATATGTACTCAGATCTCCTCCTTTTTAGCTCCACAAGAGTAAACAACTGTTCACGCCCATTCTGTGCTGATTAATCAAATACCTTGTGTCCTTAGTGAAATGTTCACGTCTGGCTACTCCAGGTTACACGCCCATATCCACCAACCTAGACAAGGATACTGATTCCTACTTGTTGTCATGATCTTCTTTGTGATATGCATCTTGTTTGGTCCCATTAAAGCCACAAAAAAATGAAGCTAGATAAGAAAGTCATTTCATTAAAACTAGAACTGAAGAGCATATTACTGAAAGATTTCAACCCCTGTGGGTCAGGAGCTCCATTTTGGAGAACAAAGAATAGACTCACTACGACCCTAACAAGCGTGTCATATAAGTCAACTAATTAGGGGATTCCTTAAAATTCTGAGTATATCTGCCTGAGAAGCAAGGAACCAATGGCCTGGATATAAATAAGCCAGATTCGTAAAAATAATGTGCGCAGAAAACTCAAGTTCTGGGACAAGATTAAAGTTCAAAAGTGGATGAGCAACCAGAACTCCCCACCGCAGTTTACAGTCCGTGAACACAAATAAGAAGAAGACTAAAGAGTTGAAGAAAACATTACTAAATGATTTCAATGTCAGACAATCAATTCTGTCAGCACCAAGCAAATATTATTGAAACTCCGAATCTCCCAATGAGATGAGCTTAAAATAAATAAAAACTTAGGTCTAAAGAAGTTTAACAGACATACCAAGAGACTTCATATTTCTGGCTGAAACCAAGCTGCATAAATCAGTGAAGGACAGGAGTTGCAACCCATCAGCGTGGCTGCTTCAGGACACATCAGTTGAGTGATTTTGTGTATACATGCTGTTTTGTTTGATTTATGTATGTGCTGATGAAGAAGGCTCTGTAGCCGCAACTTTCACTTATTGTCTGTGTTTGTTTTATTGTGAAGTTTGCTAATCTATTTTTAGTAGGTTTTATATCTATTCATGATATTTTAAACAAAGAAAGTGAATGCTAAGGTTGAAGGACTGACTTCATTGCCTCTGGTTATTCCATATGGCTCTGCCTTTGCAGAACAACTAGCCAAAAGCATCACGCAAAGCCTGAGCTCCGTAGCTCAAGCCATGATCCCCCGGGATGAAAATAAATACTGCACTCATGAACAGAGTGAACCCACAACCTTTAGTGTAGGAGGCAAACAGCTTCACCGCAGAGGCCACCTATTAAATGAAGATGATGAGTAAAGTCTAGCACTAGAGCTCTGAACTGTTATATTTTTCATCTTGCTCACTTTCTTCTTCTTTTTCTTAGCATTCACCAGCTGTAAACTCCGGAGGAAAGTTCTGATTGTTCATCCAGTTCTGGACTTTGGTCCTTTTTTTTCAGAATTTTAGTTTTGCATGCACATAAGTTTAACAGATCTGACTTAACTTGCATGCAGACTGCTGGTTCCTTGCCTTCCAAACAGATGCACTCTGAATTTGTCTAATCATACAACATGCTTCTTAGGGAGGTTGTGGCTCCATTTTTGTTTCCCCTGATACCACATGAGGATGAACTGTTCTGTTTTACATTTTACTTACCTTTTCAGATGATTTATTTGGAGGCAAGAATTCCATCTCATACACTGGGTTGTCATGATGACCAACAATTACAAAATAGTAGTTTCCAGCCATTCTCTTTCAGTCTGTAAAGTGTTAACTTTAAGTAAGAATATTATTATAATTACAAGTCATATAATTTCGATTAGTGACATGGCAGTCTGTGAGCTCACTTATGACCTGAAAAACTTGGGTTTAAACCCTCCATGTCTTCAGTATATATATATTTTTTATGCCTGGTTGATTACATGTTTGACCTGAAAGTGTAACAAGTTCTCTTTGTGAGTGCAAAACCCGAACCCTTAATGCAAACAACATATATATTTTTGAAGTTTTTTTGCAGTATTAATCATGTAATTTACTATTACTATTATTATACTACACCCACCACCATCATCATCATGTAGCAGACATTCGCTCTCATCACAACTTGCTGAAACTCTCTTTCCAGATCTTCCACCTCGTGTACCCAACCCAGGGTGTTTCTTATATCCTGTGCCCACGTTCCTGCTTGCCAATCCCTGCTTCCCTTTCCTGGCACTATGCATTATGCTTCATCACTATTGTTTCCAATTTTCCAGTACTGTTCTACGCTTGGGAAAGGTGGATTGTGTATCACCCCAATGCTAAAAAGATGAATCAATTTCATATAACCTGTCTCAGAAAGCTGCTCAAAATCAAATGGCAAGATAAGATCCCAAATACTGTGGTTCTTGATAGGGCAAACCTGCCTAGCATCCTGCCTAGAATTGTCAGCTGCGTTGGGCTGGTTACCTAACCTGCATGCAAGACTATCGCCTCCCAAAGAGAGTATTTTATGGTGAGCTACAGCAAGGGAGGACGTCCCGGGAGGACAGAAAAAGCGCTATAAGGACACTCTGAAGACTGCTCTCAATTCTTTTGGCATCAATACAGCGACGTGGGAGGCTGCTGCACAAGACCGTTCTGAATGGTGTATGTCCCTCAGGCATGTTGCATCGGCCTGTCAGGCAGCGGAGGTTGCACAGACAGAGAAACGGAGGCAGACTAGAAAGAATCGCACTGCTAATCCCACACTTACTGTGGCTTCCATCTGTTGTCCGCACTGCTCATGGACGAACAACATTGTTTCCAATCTGCAGGGGTGCTTGGTAATAAATTAAATGATATGACCAAAATATTTCATTTTCTGAGACAAGATACTGTACTGTTTACTAGTTACCAACCAAACTTCCTTGATGTTCAGATCTTTTATGATGTCAGTATGTTTCTTCTTAGTCCATGGTAGACTGAGAATCTTTCTATTCTACATTTCTGCTCAAAAAAGCTGCCTATAGTTCCTATACCCATCCAAGTGTTTTATGTTATTTGGAAATATTTTTAATTAACATTTTCAATTTTTACCATCAACATCACAATTTTCAGCTCTCCTTTAAATAACGGTCACTAGCTGGAAGGCGACGGCCGCTTAGTCAGAGTTCACTCCCTTGGCTGCAGTGCAAATACGGAGCGGACAAGTCACGAATCAAAACACAAAGTGAGGTTTCCGTGATGTGTCACCCTAACCCTACCCCTAACTCTAACCCTAACCCTACCCCTAACCCTACCCCAAACCTAACCCTAGGATGACAGGTAACTACATCATTTGTTTCGTTCCCTCTTTATCATTTCGTATTTGCACTGCAGCCAAGGGAGTGAACTCTGACTAAGCGATCGTCGCCTTCCAGCTAGCGACCGTTAGGAGAGCCCAATTTTCACATCCCCGTGTGGGTTCCAGGGCCCTGTTAAAGGGAAAACAAGAATAGACCCACTGCCTACACCAAAGCATGTCGTAAGAGTCGACTAACTGGGAGCTCCCTTCAAAGTCGGAGTGCATCTCCGCATCTGCATGAGAGGCAAGGAACCAACAGTCTGCATTATGCATACAAATTAGTCAGATCTGTCCAACGGATACACACGCAACACTCAAGTTCTGAAACAGGACTGCAGTCCAGAAGTGGATGAACAACCAGAACTTTCCACCAAAGTTTACAGCTGGTGAACGCAAAGAAGAAGAAGAAGAAGAAGAGAAGACAAGTTCTTAGTTCACATTCTCCTTCTGTGATTCTCCAACACTAGAATTTATTTATTCAGTTCATCATCTTGCATTATTTAATGTCGTAAAAAAAGCACAAATGCAAACATAATCCTTGCATTTTTCTGCACTGTTACATTAAAAAAAGAGTAAAGCCATAAAACTATTATTAAAACTAAACGGTCTTCGTTCTGTTTTGGTTTACTTACAAACTTCGGCAAGATTGTGTTGCATTTTAGATTCAAATGAACCTGCTCAACCAACTAACAATTTGTACAGCCTTTCTGCATAGTCCATGCGCGTGGATCCTTTACATTTGGTTTGATTTGATTCAAGAACCGAAATCCCAGTACTCGGTGCATTTCCATTAGCGCTCCGTCCCCATCTTCAGCAGCCAGCGAAGAGTTCCAATACTAATGGTGCCAGTAGCATTCTGATTAAACGTCCTCTAAGCCTCGAACATTTGCCAGAACCTCTCGAAACCTCCCCTCCCCTTTTGCATCAATCTCACCAGACTGTGGTGATCCATCTGCTCCTCCTTTACAATACGTTGCTAAGAAAATGTTGTTGAAACTAGCAGATTTGTTCGACAATAAAGCGATTGCTAGTATCGGCAAGGAGTGGTTAGACAGCTAGCTTATACCTTAGCCGAAGCCTCGCAAACTGAAGATTAGTAGGTGAGGGGGGGGGGAGCGGGGACTAGCAGATATGTGGTGCTAGAATCAACGAGGAATTTTGTTGAAATGCAGCAGTCCGGACATTCCTATGTGCTCTGTCCCTATTTTCAGCAGCAAGCGAAGAGTTCCATTTCCGATGGTACCAGTAACCGCCTGATTTTATGTCCGTCTCATGCTTCCCCTGAGTGTTGAGCGTCGGCCAGATCCCCCTGGTAACTCCTGGCAGCGCCATTCTCCTCAGACCGTAATGATCTATCTGCGCCTCTGCACTGTTCACTCGTTCCCAAATGGCCCTCCCAATATCTAACTTGTCATACATCAATTCACCACCAGTCTATCTGTCTGCTCATTTCCCAACACACCAGCATTACCTGGAGAAAATATCCAAACACTACGATATAGAGGTATGTGCAAGTGGGACATAGATGATACATGTGGATGGTGCAGGTATTGTGGTGGATTCGTGAGATCAGGGCGTCATGGAAGGTGCGTGATAGAGAATAATCAGACATGGAGACAATGACTACAGGTAGGTTAAGAACTGGGTGTATGGGCAGAAGCACATTAACTACATGTTTCAACAATGATCCTGAGATCCCATTCTCTAACTGTAGAGTCGTGTCTGAACACTAGCGGGTCATGCTAATCACATTCGCCAATATCGAGGACATTGATAGAGTTGATTTGCTGAACAAAAATAAGAAAATAAACAATCGTCACGTTCAACCAGCATCCCCTGAAAGGGGGTGGGGAGCTTTTGGTTATAATTGTGAATAGATGTATGTGCGCCATATAAAATGTCTTAGCATTTCCCGCCACCAAGTAGCCCTGAAAAGGACTTGCAGTGTTGATGTGATCGAGAGACAGACCCAAATACTGTCCCAACCGACGACGAAGCCGTACACCAGCCAACCAATGGGTGACCCGGTCGCCGACGAAAGACTGTGATTCCAATGTCTCTGTATTGATAGGTATGAAGCGCCCAGGGGCTTATGGGCACGTACTTCCAGAGTGCTTTGATACTGATTGTTAATTCAAAACAGTGTATGACGGGAAATGTAGGGATATGGGAAATAGGCTCTCATGGCTAGTGCAGTCGGCACGGACTGTGCAGGTCAGAATTTTACCGAGAATTCGAACCTGGGTCTCTAGAATAAGAGCCCACAGTGCTTAATCCTTAGACCAGCCGCTCTTCAGTTCTCACGAAAATGGTTAAAACTATATGTCGGAGACAACTGCGTTAATGTCGTTTAAATTCTGAAATCAATCCGATGTAGATCTCCCTCTGACCAGACATTGAAGTTCTATTTTCGAGAGAATTATTTGGATCGTAATTTTTTGTTTATTGCTTCCAGTTTTCAATAGGAAGACTGCTTTCGTTATTCTCTGAAATATATCTAACATAATAGTTATAAATATCTGATTCGTTATCAAGAGCTATTATAAAACAATACACAGGATATAAGTGACTTATTGAGTATGAAAGTATATGAGGAAGGAAAACTGGCGAGAGACCGAGTTTCTTTTAGGCAGACTGTGATGAGAGCGACGTTCTGCAAAGGACCTGCTACATTATGATGATGAGTGTGTACTGCTTCGGCAAGTCAATACTTTTTCAGGTCTGTCGTAGATCTCCTATTTATATCTCCAAGGCCAGAAACTGATCGGTTTTGCAAGACCAGTACTTGAACCTACCACATGCAGAGATACATTGAACTGTAGGAACGTCCATTAAAAAAAAAACACAGATGGTTCGGACATATATCATGACTACAGTGCACCACAGATCCCCACCAGGTAGACACAATGAAAGCAGAACAAGAGGCCAACCATGCAAGCGATGGATAGATGGAGTAGCCGATGCCTTAAATACCAGCATCTACGTAGCTCATTACAAGGCTCGTATCCGATTCCTCTTCAAAACGTGACGCTGAAAGGCAGAATAGACTACAAAAGGAGAAGAGCGTCTTATATGCCTGGCTCGCTAGTGTAGTTGGCTAAACCGGACTGGGCGGTGACCGGGTGACGAACTCCTTGTGGTCAGGGTTCACACCCGGGGGTAGACCACATTTCTCCCAGATTTACGGTACCTATCATGGAATCAAGGCCGAAGGGTTGCTATATCCATAGTACCGAGACAAAGGGTTAACAATTAATGGTTTCTGGATATTTAAAAAATCAAGCACAGCATACATAGTTTGTCTGTGAGTAGGTCTTGGTTGAAGTTTCCTCCAAGAGTTTTCTTTTTTACTCTTGGCACCAGGTATCAGCCCATTTAAAAGGAGATGTGGTCAACATTGTGCCAGTTGTCCTCACCTCTCATGAAAATAATTCCTGTTAAATAT